TCGCTGACGCAGTTGAATGCAGGCTGCATGAGTTGAATACTCCCCAGGGAGTTGAGTTGGTTAAAAGAATGCCAGAAAAAAGACAAAGGGAACACTCCAGTGCCTTTAGCATGTACTGGTTGCGTGGATATGTGCACTAAATAAATATCCGAAAATAAAAATTATATAATACAAGTAATTATAACATGTCACTCCTTGTCAAAAGACTATCATATTTCCTCACAAACAACCTTCCCTTCTCTTCTGTCTTCCCTCCATGTCCCTCTTGTCTGCCAGTCCCAGTTTTTCTCCATCCTCTGCCCTACCCACAGTGTCTATCCTCCCCTCCCCCAACAGAACCCTTCCATCTGCTATTCACCCGTGGTTGATACCTTTGACAATGTGATGTGAGACAATGTGCAGGTGACATTCAGTTGTTGACAGGCTCTGAGAAGAGTTTGGTCAATGTAATTGGCCACTGATCCCTGGAGCCTAGTAAAGTAGGATTCCTGTCATGTCTCATTACTCTCAACATCAGCCTCACAACAACTTCTGGATACACTCCCACTCTAGAGCAAAACATCAACCCCGGGATTGGGGGATTCTTTCTCAAAAGTTGAAATTGTTTGAAGTCGTTTTACTTTCTGAATATCATCTGTGACCGCCATGGTAACTCTTTCCTGCGCTCATTACGCGCTTTGCGCAAGTTTCTAAATGATTTTCTTGTTCATTTTCAGGAACACAGGTTTCTAAACAACTGATTTCTATTCATTTATACTATCACCCAACATCTAAGCAAGATAGTTTGGACACACTACACAGTGAAATCTAGTTGTCGAGTGTAATCAAGTTTACCTGCAGTTAACTGCATATCAGACACAATCACATTCAGACACAAAACTTTGCTATGCATAAATACCTCAGATTAAGGTGGATTGGGAAACTAAACATTTTCACCAGTACAAATTAGTGGTGTTCCGATTAATTGAAATAATCAAAGATTGATCGCAGTGACCAAACGACCAAGCAATCAATCACATTTTCTCATAATCGAACATAAACGATTTTGGAACTACTGTTTTAGTCTTTGAAATACTTTATAGAACAAACTTTATGGATAACAACTTCTTTTTATTACAGTGAGTGGACGTTTTGATTTTAGTCTTTGAAATACTCTGACAATGGAACATATCGTTCCATTATGAAGTTGTCAGGGACTATATTGTACTTCCCAACTTCTAAAATGCCACTCAAAGTTTAATTCAATTATCGAAAAAAACTCACTTCACTAACTGAAAAGCCATGACTGAATATTTCTTGAAGACTCCGGGAAGTTTATGTTCATGATATATTAGTCATCACTTTAAAGTAGCAAGTTGCATCATGTTATAAATATCTGCAATAACAACCTGGATAGGAAAATCTGAAAAATGACGCTAACCAATTTTTTTCGATGATTGTTAGTTGGTAATGAAACAATCATCAATTGTGAGATTTCAACCAATTCCCAACACTAGTACAAATGTTTTACACATATTGTCTCCACTGACTTTTTGTGGTCAATAATTAAAATCCTAAAACTTCCAGATAAGATTAGAAAGATGAACCCAAATACCTCAAACAAACTAAAATACTTCCATATATCTAACTGTAGTGAATGCTCACATTGAAGATGAAAGGTTCACCTCAAGTATGAAATCCAACCAAATATTTGAAACATAATATATATTGTGTTACGTTGCTAGACTGACAGTAATATAAAACTAACACAAGAAGTCAGCAAATTAAAGAATATTCATGTCTTGTTCTTGTTTTCCTATTTTCTATGTAAATGTGAATTCACCCATCCACACCAACAGTACAAATAGAACTTTCAACATACGCATATACTGTATATGGTGTGTCTAAGGGACATGAATCAGTTAATGTACCAAGTTGGTGGATGTATAGTCCGTTTGGCTCAAAAGCGGACCGATGAATTGCAATCTAACTCGAAAACTAATAAACATAAATTACTCAATGAAACGCTGATCATAATCAAAACATCATACCCACTCTGTGAGGTTTTCGCAGAATTATTTTCCTAAAAATAAAAAAGTTGCTTAACAATTTAAATATTGACACAGTTCACCATTTGTTACGAGGGAGGAGTGCAGAGAAAGGGACAGCCAGGTGTTCGAGAACGGATGGAGACGGCACAGCACAGGTTAATGAATAAATAACTTTGTCTGTGAATGTGCTTCTCGAACACCTGGCTATCCCTTTCTCTGCACTCCTCCCTCGTAACAAACAGTGAACTGTGTCAATATTTTAATGATAGTTTGTTAAACAACTTCATTATTTTTAGGACAAAAATTCTGCAAACACCTCACAGAGTGGGTATGATGTTTTGATTATGATCAGCATTTCATTGAGTAAGTTATGTTTATTAGTTTTCGAGTTAGATTGGAATTCATCGGTCCGCTTTTGAGCCAAACGGACTGTAGTATATGCTGATGTTATACAAGGCATGGTGGAAGACCACGGTGAGCCTGCTGGCTGAATTGAGTGTGTGGGTAGGTGGCCTGCTGGCTGATCTGTGTGTGTAGGGTGACAAGCAGGCAGAGAGTTGAGTTCTCTGTGTGGGTGACATCAAGGTGAGAGTGTGGGTTTGACAATGGGTAACACTATACATAATATCCATCACATTTTGTCACTTACAGTTCTTTGAAAACTATTTACAAAACTTCATTTAATTACATATCTTATTTATAGATATAAAATCTATTACAAAACCTACTAAGTAGAAGAAAATATGATTGAACTGGGCGCCATCTACCTGCCTGCTGGAAACATTACATACTGCATGTCTTAAGTTACTTTGAAATTACACATATTATTTAACCCATAACCCTGACATTTTCCCACTATATTTGTTGTGTCAATTGATCACTGTGTAAGTAACAATTCATCAGATAAAGTTACTTTGTGTGTTGCCTTGCTTTTTATTTGTTGAAACAACATTACATATGTCATCCTATGAAACATATATTCTGATTCATTCTGTCTTAGTGACCAGATGTTATTACTGCTGACATTAAAGTGTAACCTGTGCCAATCATATGTTTTATGACTAATTACTGTCACAGGTTCAATAAATAACAAAGATACAATACTGGCAAATTTATAGATAACAACATATTTTATAAAATAATAAATCTTTTATCACACAATAAAAGAAGTTGTTTAGTATAATCTGTCAACAATATACTTCCCAACTTCTGAAATTACACACAAAGAAATAATAACAACCTTGCTTTAGCAAGTAATGATGTTAGTATCAATAACCATGAGTGAGTTGAGTTTTTCACCACTTTTAGCAATATTCCAGCAATATCACGGCGGGGGACACCAGAAATGGGCTTCACACATTGTACCCATATGTCGAATATAATCCAGGTCTTCACTGTGATGAGCGAACGCTTTACCACTAGGCTACCCCACCACTCCCCCAAAACCATGAGTTATACGTCAAAACAACTTTGTATTGAAAAACAGAGACAGATACTACTGATGGTCATTACATTGTCAAAACATTGTAAAACTCAGTCAGATGTCAAACATACTGAGAAAATAAAACAAACTAAACTTTCTAACATATTTTAGCCAATTCCCACTGTTTTAAATTTGCGAAAAGAATGAAGCCACAGTGATCTTTAAGTCACGGAAACCCCATACTGTCCTCACTAAATTACTGTGTAAATTGTCTCAAATGTTTTTACAGTTGTAACAGTGACCTCAAGTATCTATTATTTTCATAATAATTATTATGGTCATTTTTACTTAATCTATCCAACATATGATAAGTTATTAGAGGTGAGAAACGTGACTTTTAGAATATTTAAGGATTGAATTTTTTCGGTTTATTGGGGTATGAATCAAAAAGCTGATGTGCAAACTGTATGAATCTGCGCATATTTCCTACTTATACCAATACATTGGTGAATATCCTTCCTTCAATTCTGGTAATATTACTGTTAATGTTCAGTTCGCAATTTAGATGTCAAGACCTTTTAGTCATAAGCATGTTATAAGCAATTGAGATGTGTTAATGTTGCAACTCCATTTGAACTTGTTCAAATCCATTTTTGTTCCTTAGGGACCGTTCATAATTTATGGCTAGGGGAGCAATGATGATATTAAAAGGGGGTGGGGGTGTCATCACCATTTTGTTCTGGGGAGGCAGGTATCATCAATTTTGGCATGTAGGGGGACCTGGAAATATCAAAATATGCTTAAAAATTATGGGAAAGGAGGGTTGGGGGGTCATTGATTTGTAAATGAGATGCAGGGCGGGGTCACATACAATGTACATACATTTTAGGGGGGGGTGTCATTCACATTGTACATGCTTCTCCAAGAAAATCATCATCACCCCCCTAACCATACATCATGAACAGACCCTTATTATAAAGGTCTCACAAGTGCACAGATATCAATGTTGATGTCTACAGTACATTAAGCCAACAATACCACAGGCATTACATAAATAATTCTGAAGGTAAAAATATTGTGTGAAACCATAATTACATTAGTGCTTCCAATTGAGTGTTACCTGTCTTAATAATCCAAATGATTAGTTTTTAGTGTATTGTATTATGATAAAAATAACTAATTAATTTATATACCATATAGGAAATTATTACTTGAACAATGAATGTTTACCCACTGTAGTGAACTTTTGATCATTACAGTAAGGAAATATGTCAGATAAAATGAATATAAACTTCCCAATAAACCGTAATTGGGAAAATCAATGTTCAAGCATAGTTTACTGCACAACATATGAAAACTGACATAAGTCAGCATACCCTACCACAACAGATTTTAAAGACATGTTAGAACAACCAACCATGCGGCTTTGGGTGTACCCATATAATCAGTAGTAATGTGTTTCTAGGCATTCCTACTGGCATTGGGGAAATTGGTAAGCCAAGATATGACCTAAAAGTAAAAGTACTAAGTGTTTTCTATTCTCTTACCAGCCTCGTGTATTCCGGGGTTGTTAGAGAACTCGATTACAGTCAGACTTCGGTTCCGCACTGATGGCTCACTGAGGTTGTAGATTCTTGTGATTTCTGGACATCGCCTATTGGCGTCATTAATGACATCGAGCATAGCCTCATGGTTGTGGTGGACAAACTGGAAGCCGAGAGATGTTGGCAAAGCAACGAGGATGATCGGTACCAGGACCGATATCCGTAGAAATTTTATCATAACTTAACTTTCAAGACTGTTAGAATCGATTCAATCTACAGCTGACAAATACTGAAAGCTTCAGACCTATGGCAGCTGACACCAAATGGCAGAAAACGAAAAGCGGTGTATAATTTATACAGAATACATCAATGTTTACGGAAATATGACGTCAAAGGGAGTAATTATTATGGGAAGATAAGAAATGATATATGCGATGGCGATGCTGCATATTACTGTTCTTTCTCATATAACGTACACTGACAAAGATAGCAGAATTTAGACTTTCTTCAAGTAGTATGCATCATACACTCACAATTCGTTAATTTGACTTCGCTGTTTATATACAATAATGAGCAAGGAAGTGTCCCCGACCGCGCGCCAGCCCACGCAAAATGGCCGTCACACGTGCCAGTGGGTTGCTTGAGTTAGCGTTGAGACAGCATGTATCACTATGCTGGAGGTACAACCAAAATTTATCAAATTAATTAATGTGTGGGTCAATTATCTACCTGTCCATAACATTTACTGGTGATATAGGTTAGACAAAGTCGAGCATGCAGAGTTTGTGTTTTGGGGTGTGCGAGATAAATATCAATACGTCAAAAACGAGGCCCATGTGTAGAATGTATTCGACCACAACTTAACCGTGGGTGCAAACATATTTTATAGTTACACACCCTAACCCTACTGGCTAACAGATTATATAGTTACATCGTCAGAAACTGTTAATCTGAAGGGCACCCGTACCCATATCTGGAACATAACAAGATTTGACATTTTTAAATTTCAGAAATGTAATGTCAAAGAGCGCGCATATCAAGTCTGCAGATGATCAATAAATTGGGCATTGATATTACGAGCTCATGATGATTTAATGACAATTTGGTAAAAGAGTGCAGTAACATACAACCATGAGTAATTCAATGACCTCTCAATGCATATGCATGATCAGATATATAGTGCTTGAAACCACACCAGTTCACAAACCTTGATCTCCAACTATATTATCAAACACACATTAAGACTAGAATGTCTGCAAACTTTGATGATATGAAGAATGTCAGGGTGTAATGGCAGTGACACACTTCAATGTTTATGTGGAATCAGTCTGAAAAGACATGACTTGAGGATAATGACTATTACTTTGCTACAGAAAGTAACTCTTCTCATTTAAGTTACGTATTATTTTGAAACCATGAGTAAATGTGTACATGTTAAGTAACTCATTACAGATGCCCCTCCCAGCTACGGCATCTTGTTGTATCATCCCGTTGCAATACTCAAACACCGCCCAAGAGACCTGTTGGTGCATTTCTTGAATTTGCACATTCTCAAACCGTGGAAATATTGAGAAACAATCCAGGTAAGTAGGAGTAAAATTTAAACAAGTCCATCGTGAATTACACATGTTCATCCTCTTGCTACATGGACCCGTGAGGTCCGGGTTAGAAATGATCTTCAGTAACCCATGCTTGTCGGAAAAGGCGACTAACGGGATTGAGTGGTCAGACTCGCTGACTTGGTTGACACGTCATGGTATCCCATTTTGTAGATTGTTGCTCATGCTGTTGATCACTGAATTGTCTCGTCCAGAGGGGCGGTGGGGTAGTCTTATGGTTAAGGCGTTCGCTCGTCACGCTGAAGACCCGGGTTCAATTCCCCACATGGGCACAATGTGTGTCCCCCCGTGATATTGCTTGAATACTGCAAAAAGTGGCTTTAAAATATACTCAGTCAGTCTGGTCCAGAATCGATTATTTACAGACCGATGCCATATATCTGGAATATTGCGGAGTGTGGCGTAAAACTAAACTCACTCACTCACTCCTTGTTACATGACACTAACAATAAGTATTCATTATATATCTGGACTTGTGTTTATAATCAGTTACATTGATTTTAGTCAATATGTCATTCAAATGATGTTCCTTTCATGTCGGTGCAATCATGTGTCCTGCCAGCACTTGCAACTTCTATTGACCCTGTTTTATGGGGTCTGCATACCACATACCATGGCATTTTTCACAGCAACAATAATCATACTACTTGTACAGATGCCTGAAAACAAACCCTGAGCTGACAAAGAAAGGATGGGTGTATCATAAGTGACTTACTTTGGTTTGTTATGGTTTGGCAGTAACTTGTCAACATTCTAGTGTTGTAATGGAGGTAGCTAGGTTGTGAAACCTCAACGATGGCAGGTCAAACTGTTCAGTATATGACGACGATAGCAGGACAAACTGTTCAGTATATGACGACGATGGCAGGTCAAATTGTTCAGTATATGACAACGGTGGCAGGTCAAATTGTTCAGTATATGACAACGATGGCAGGTCAAACTGTTCAGTATATGACAAGGATGGCAGGTCAAACTGTTCAGTATATGACAATGATGGCAGATCAAACTGTTCAGTATATGACTTATAATTAATTAATATGGTAAATCCTGCATTTAAAATAACTTAAATTTTTAAACTTAATCTATCTCATGACTTGCACCTCTCTCTCTCGCCTCGACTTTTAGTGGAACGACTGTAAACTTTTTTCCATAGGCCTCCTTGTCCATTCGCCCGTGCACTCCGTGCTGCTCTCCTTAATTAGATTGCTAGTTCCTAATGACGACCGGGTACTTCATATAAACGAGCTGGAATTCAAGGCTGTAGTTCAAGCCATCTCCCATTGGGCAACAGAGCTTCAATCAACCAGTCTGCTGATCCAATCCAATAAATATACAATTTATATTAAAATTTTCAATATCAGAATATAACACTGCTGGTAAAATAATACTTTATATACCATCTTTTCCTATCATTGTATCTTATTTCATTTCTGTTATTTTGTTGGGTATGTTATTACTTAATCACCAGTTGATTGAAATGGTAAATCTGATTGCTATTTCTGGCTCTGTTTATCAGATAGATACACTTGGTTATCTTAATCCTTGCATGTAAAACAATGCCTAGCATGACAGTACATAAAACTTTCTTACCCGTGAAGGTCCGGGTTAGAATATTGATCTTCAGTAACCCATGTTTGTCGTAAGAGGCGACTAACAGGATCAGGTGGTCAGGCTCGCTGACTTGGTTGACACGTCATTGGTTCCCAATTGTGCAGATCGATAGTCATGCTGTGGATCACTGGATTGTCTGGTCCAGACTCAATTATTTACAGACCACCGCCATATAGCTTGAATATTGCTGAGTGTGGTGTAAAACTAAACTCACTGACTCACTCACATAAAACTTTCTAAACTGGTAAAGTATCATGTAAAGTGATGTGTGGTCACAAATTTCACATCTTCATTGATAAAGTTGTCATCTCTTTACCAACAGAAAAATAGTTTGGTGAAAGTGTAACCTATGTTTGCTAATCTCTTTCTTTATGATCTTTTTTCTGGTTTTAAATTAATTTTGATCATCATCAACAGTAACATGATGTAATATGTTTGTGGACAGATGTGAGCAGAAGAGAGTCTCTCAAGATAGCCAGTCAGAAGTGGCATCAGCTTGACCCACAGGAGAAGGATGTGAGTTCTAATATAGGGACCAAGGAGTAATGTTTAGTTTTAAAAATCTAATTTAAAACCAATTGGTCTTCGTAACATTTTACTTCACTGTTTTACTATTTGGTAAACTACCACGAAACTGGTGTTTCACAACACTTTTCCTGATTTATATTTCTCAGGTTCTTTGTACAGAGATAACAATTTCCTGCTTCATTAGTACCTATTCCTGTAAAAACAGATCAGGGTGCATTGCTTAGGAAGAAATAAGGACTAGATTTAATTAAGTACTGACATTTATGAAGTGTTCCTAGTTACAGTTTGTTGTTGTTTGTTGTTTGCAGGAGAGAACTAGAGTAGTGCGTGAGCGCTATAAGGAGTATCAGCGGCAGTACCAACTGTATCTGCAAAGCCTGACAACAGAGGAGAGGGATCGACTGGATGAACAAAGACAATTCCGCAGGAAAAGGCTTGCTAAGATGAGAAAGAAAAGGGTATGCAAAACAGCTACCATTAGTTTCTCTGTTCTGATCCTTAAAGCCTCTTTTATCACAAAATGTTTCTATTGTTCTGGCCTCTGTTAACAAGATTCCATCAGTTCCATTCCAAATGAGTCTTACTACCGCCACCAGTCCTGTTTAAAATTTGGAGGCCTCCAAGCAACCTCCACCAGTTCTGTTCCAACTTTTGAGATTACTGTTGTCCAAAGCCATCTCTACCAGTTCTGTTGTAAGAGATTACTGTTGTCCAAAGCCATCTCTACCAGTTCTGTTGTAAGAGATTACTGTTGTCCAAAGCCATCTCTACCAGTTCTGTTGTAAGAGATTACTGTTGTCCAAAGCCATCTCTACCAGTTCTGTTGTAAGAGATGACTGTTGTCCAAATCCATCTCTTCCAGTTCTGTTGTAAGAGATGACTGTTGTCCAAAGCCATCTCTACCAGTTCTTTTTAACCAGTAAGAGATGACCAAAGCCATCTCTGAGTTCTGTTGTAATAGATGACTGTTGTCCAAAGCCATCTCTACCAGTTCTGTTGTAAGAGATGACTGTTGTCCAAAGCCATCTCTACCAGTTCTGTTGTAAGAGATTTTGTTTTCAAACACTGACCCTCAAACCCCAAACTTTCAACACCCGACCAACAATGGTCTGTTGTCCAAAGCCATCTCTACCAGTTCTGTTGTAAGAGATTACTGTTGTCCAAAGCCATCTCTACCAGTTCTGTTGTAAGAGATGACTGTTGTCCAAAGCCATCTCTACCAGTTCTGTTGTAAGAGATGACTGTTGTCCAAAGCCATCTCTTCCAGTTCTGTTGTAAGAGATTCCATTGAAACTGTTGTCCAAAGCCATCTCTACCAGTTCTGTTGTTAGAGATTACTGTTGTCCAAAGCCATCTCTACCAGTTCTGTTGTAAGAGATTACTGTTGTCCAAAGCCATCTCTACCAGTTCTGTTGTAAGAAATAACTGTTGTCCAAAGCCATCTCTACCTGTTTTTGTTAGAGATTACTGTTGTCCAAAGCCATCTCTACCAGTTCTGTTGTAAGAGATTACTGTTGTCGAAAGCCATCTCTACCAGTTGACAAACTTTGTTTGCAGATGACACTGTTGTAAGAAGCAGATGAGATAACTGTTGTCCAAAGCCATCTCTACCAGTTCTGTTGTAAGAGATTACTGTTTCCAAAGCCATCACTACCAGTTTTGTTGTAAGAGATTACTGTTGTCCAAAGCCATCTCTACCAGTTCTGTTGTAAGAGATTACTGTTGTCCAAAGCCATCTCTACCAGTTCTGTTGTAAGAGATTACTGTTGTCCAAAGCCATCTCTACCAGTTCTGTTGTAAGAGATTACTGTTGTCCAAAGCCATCTCTACCAGTTCTGTTGTAAGAGATTACTGTTGTCCAAAGCCATCTCTACCAGTTCTATTGTAACCCTCAAAGTCACTGTTGAGCCAATCAACCATTACTAGTAAAGTACCTTATGTACAGGGATTTTGCCACCCATCTCTTCTAGCATTTTACATATATATCAGGGCCTAGATTTTCGAAGCTCTCTAAACGCTAAGATAGTCGTAGGTTAATGTTAATGTATGGCACTTACGACTGTCTTAGCACTAAGAGAGCTTCGAAAATCTAGGCCCTGGACCTGGTACAGAGCTCAATACGTACATGGATGTCCGCAAGCTAGCAGACACTTGAACTGTCACCAGTTAATTTAACCTATTTTATAAGATATGTGGTTTAGATAGTTTTACTGGCTGTCATTTCTGTAAATGGTTCCTGAATTGTTTCAATCAAAGACATGAAAATGGACAAGTGAGATACCTCTGGTAATAGGAAACAGGTTGTTTTTGCTAGTGAGATGAGATTTGGATGAAGTCTAAGCGATAGCACCATCTTGCTATGAACGTGGTAAATGATTGTTGATGTTAGCCTCATCCTGTTTTTGAGGAGGGGGAGGTATATAGCAATCACCATGGATGTCTGTCTTTTCCTTTTCTGAGCAAAACTTCTACACCACTGAATATTTCTTGTTGTAGCATGCTATACAGAGCAGACTAGTGGTGAACTGGTGCCTTGTGCTGATTTGGGATTTGATCTTCATTTTGTTTTGCTTCCATGAAGAACAGTTTGGACTTACACTGAAAATGCTTGTTTCAAGAGCAGAACGCCCAAATCCTTGATTAGGCCAGACCAATTTTATTTCTTGTTTTACAGATTTTTGTCCTCAGAAAACCTAAAGGCAGGAGGGAAAAAAATAAAATAAAATCACCAGTCAAAGTAATATTCCTTCTAAATACTCAAAGTATTTTACTTTTGGCAATTTCTGAAGTGTATATGTGGCAAAAAACAATCTAAAAACAAATTTTCTTGTATATTTACATTTTTGGCCAATAAAATTATTAGGATTTTATTTTTGAGCAGGGAAAATTAATTTTTTTTCTTTTTCTTATTCTTGAAAAAATATGGCAGGCAGGATCCATAAAACAAGAAATAAAATTGGTCTGGCCATATAGATGAAAGAGAAAGGCCCCCCAAATCTTTTTCTCAGAAAGTGTGTCTATGAGGCCTTTGAAACTGGTAGTAGCTTTAGGTTTTAGGTTTGCAAGTTGGAAGTGAAAATTGAAATCTGTAAAAGAACTGTAGGTGTGAAAACACCAAACAACATAGCTATGTGATAATTGTGTTCTACAAATAACTAAGTTCACAAAATCAATACAAAGGTATCACGTTCTCAGAACAAATTCAAAGGTAATAATATTCAAGAGCAGTGGTTATAGCAATAAAGACAGTGATGGTTATATTCACCTCTCGGCAACAGTAGTGGAACTTGTAAGAAATGCTTAAGCAGAGCTCCCATGGTAAAAAGATAGACACTCACAACCATGGGCAAGTATTTGGCGATCACAGGAACGACAGGAACCAGGTGTAGTGTATGTGTACTGAAATGCGAGCTTTGGAGATCGGGTAACTTTGTGGACATACCCCTTTACCACCTGAGGTTTTGTCTTAAACTTAACCAAACCTCAACAGAGTGTAAGGAAATGGGATTGTTCATACTGGACAATGTAATCCATGAACTCAAACCTTTCCCTTGTCATTACAATTATTCATGGACATGCTTGTATACTTTTCATGAAAGCATGCCTTTCTAGCATGAGAAAACCGTCTCTTCCTTGCACAGCACTGGAAAACAAAGTCTCTGATAAATATACATCTACAGTCCAACCTGATTATGATGTACACTGGAAAATATGTCATTATAATGAGATAGAGGAAAGATTGACCTGATAAGTGCCAGGAAATGGATGTTAACAAACATTGTGCTCTGGGCAAAGATGGCTTTGGGCATTGTGCAATATTAACACAATCCATGTTGGTCAGCTCTTCTCATCTTCTTGTTGAACTTAGTGCAATTCATTCAATAACAGAAAGATACACCTAGTCATCGAAGTCTTGATGTTCAGAAAAACATTGGCATTGGCATTGGCATTGGCATTATGTCCTGGTAATTTGGTTTAAGAAACATGGCATAATGAAATATTTGTTTTCTGTGAGCTGTATTTTAGCTTTTTTACAGGAACTGAAGAATCTTGGCAAACCCAAAAGTATTCGAAATGCATTCTTGCTCTTTGTGAAGTCTTCCCGACTTGAAACAAGAGGCGCCAACCCCACAGTAAGTACCTAATAACTTAAAGGTCACATGCAACCAAAAAATCAAACATAATTAAAACACAATTATCACTTCTTCATGACATATAATATGCATTGCTGATTATGAAAAAACAAATAAACAAAATTATAAGCGAATAATCGCAAATCAAAAGTGCAATTTTTTGTACTTGGGTTTACTTCCCTCGAAACGAAGCAGCCGGGATACCGAACCCAGTCAGAGCGGGTGGGTGTGCACTCAAGTGTAACGGCTGGTTCATTAGCAGATGACGCCTTCATGGCTCATTGTGTGTGTATATATAGAGATGTTGGGTTGTGCAAATACATGCTCATTTTTTGTGTATAACATTTTGCAATCAACAGACATCATAACATGTCATGTGTTCAAGTATCACACCTGCCTGTCTGTGTAATTACATAATGTGACAGAGACCTAACTCGGGCCATAAATCAATGCGTTTTGATTATGGTGTATAGCCTGATTGGTGTTAAGTTCAAATTGCATGTGGTCAGTGATCGCGAGTTGTGTATTGAATATTGTCATTAGCAGACAGGCAGGCAGACACACAGGTGTCAATAAAACAAGACATTGAGTTTTGTCTGTGACAACGACATATCTATATCACAGTTAGAAATTCTGTCAACGCTTAAATAATGACATTGCTTTTAAGCATCGAACTGAGAAAGTGTCTCGTAAGAAGAACGTGTGGTGAAATAGACAAATGAAATTATATAAACAGTTAATTTACTGTCATAACATATAAAAGCTCGCTACTGTGAGATATCAACAAAACATTAGAAAAATAGCTCACACCAAAGCCTTCACCGAGTATTCACCGGACAACCCGCTTCCAAGCTGCGCGAACCTATTTCACTGCGCACATGCTATGAGCGCAGCCCAGCTGTTGAAACCCGTTTTCCCCAGAAAAGTCTGGGGAAAATTAGTGAAACGTTTGAACTCCGATTTCGCGCGGTTTTTTTCATCGCGTTATTTTTCAACTTTATAAGTTGAATTTGCATTTTTGATGATTTGTTTCGGTAAGTCCATACCGAAAGGTATCAGAATCTGCAAAGCTGTGTTTTACGTTGCATGTGACCTTTAAATATATAATCATAACACACACCACTCACACCAGTGTGTACGACGACAGATTCACATTTAGCCACTGGTGTCTCAGGGAGGATGCTGTGTCAGGAGAGGTTTCCAGTGTGCCATGCTTGTGCTACGAGATGCTGTGTCAGGAGAGGTTTCCAGTGTGCCATGCTTGTGCTACGAGATGCTGTGTCAGGAGAGGTTTCCAGTGTGCCCTGCTTGTGCTACGAGATGCTGTGTCAGAAGAGGTTTCCAGTGTGCCCCGCTTGTGCTACGGGATGCTGTGTCAGGCTACGAGATGCTGTGTCAGGAGAGGTTTCCAGTGTGCCCTGCTTGTGCTACGAGATGCAGTGTCAGAAGAGGTTTCCAGTGTGCCCTGCTTGTGCTACGAGATGCTGTGTCAGGAGAGGTTTCCAGTGTGCCCTGCTTGTGCTACGAGATGCTGTGTCAGAAGAGGTTTCCAGTGTGCCCTGCTTGTGCTTTCTGAGATGCTGTGTCAGGAGAGGTTTCCAGTGTGCCCTGCTTGTGCTCACGAGATGCTGTGTCAGGAGAGGTTTCCAGTGTGCCATGCTTGTGCTACGAGATGCTGTGTCAGGAGAGGTTTCCAGTGTGCCCTGCTTGTGCTACGAGATGCTGTGTCAGGAGAGGTTTCCAGTGTGCCCTGCTTGTGCTACGAGATGCTGTGTCAGGAGAGGTTTCCAGTGTGCCCTGCTTGTGCTACGAGATGCTGTGTCAGGAGAGGTTTCCAGTGTGCCATGCTAGTGCTAGATGCTGTGTCAGAAGAGGTTTCCAGTGTGCCATGCTTGTGCTACGAGATGCTGTGTCAGAAGAGGTTTCCAGTGTGCTATGCTACGAGATGCTGTGTCAGGGTTTCAACCCATGGTGAAAAAGGATCTAATTCACATTATGATAGACCACCAAACTGAAAGTCGAGGGAGAGTGTGTCGTGGTCTGCTTGTATGGCATCAACATCTATCAAAATTTCATTCTTTAGAAGTCATAAATCAGAATTGAAGCTTTGTTTAAAGGACATGTAACTGATATGTCATGCAAATGTTTGGCATTAATAAATTTTTCCTTATCCTGACTCATGATCTTTTGCTTATCTCCCTTTCCCTTGCGTAATGGTAGTGGAACACTTGAATCCCAGGTAGTTCCCGGAGCGGATGTAAAAATACACCCACCCACGAGTTACCCCCCTTTTCCCGCGCAAACAGTCATGTGACCAGCCTTACTTGTCACTCTTTCCTTTTTGCCCAAGCGGATGGTTGGGCGAGCACTGGAGTCCCTTATACGGCAGATATTCTTTATATTTAGATCCTATTTATCAAAATTACGCTGTGTATGGTATTTGGCTATAACTATAATGCATTAGTTGTATAAATTTTGAAGAAAGTTTTGTAATTTGTTACACTTTTTCATCGTAATGTAACTTGTTTACATTTCATGAAATCTTGCATTGTTTGCAGGCACCGGCTATCAGTGGCTGATCCTCATCCCCAATGCCCACCGTGCATTAAACCATGTTCTTCCACCTCATGTTGTACATATTGCAGTGATTTATCAAATTTGCAATTTAATCAATATTTGTCTTATATCTATGGACGTGCCATTGATCGGGTGAGGAAGTCATTACAAGTCACGGTTGATAAACCTGGAGATCAAGCCGGTAACTGTAGGTTGTTTGCTACTACAGAAATACATCATTCTGGTGCTATGTTGAGTACGTTGCAGGGGCAGTTGTCTGTTATGGGGTCGAAGAAGAGGTCTGCTACGACGGAGTTGACGCCCTCTCAGAGGAAGAAAAAGACTACTGCTTCATCCACAACGCAGAAAAGGGCATCCATAACTAGGTCTACATCGAAATCAACACGACCTAGTAGGTCAACTCATCAGAGGTCGTTTAATGAGGAGATTATCCTACCGCTCGAGGCAGACGTGTTTGATGAACCACCGTTGCTTCTGCCTGAAGTACCTATTAGATCGGGAACACTCGACCTCCACGACTACTAGATCGTCTCCTGCAACTACAACAGCGGCCCAGCTGTTTGACGACCAACCACCAACTTCTCAACGCAGTGACACAACACAACACAACATCAGCGATGACGAACGCTTCATCAACGCCGAATCAGTTCCAGTTAACGCAGAACTTTGAACCAGGCGACTTTATGAGGCAATTTACTACTCAAATGATGGCCATGATGGAACAACGTTTTGATGAGGAAGCGAAGGCACGACAGGAACGCTCATCAACTGACAACGTTCGCAAACCCTCAGACCTACGCGAACCTAATACGCATCACAAATCTACATCTGCAGACAACGTTGGTGAACGTGAACGTTCGAGAAGGTCATCACAATCGGACGACTCTGTCATCATGAACAAGATGGAAGGTCCATGAAGGCTGCTAACTCTACGAGAACTTCGTCTGCGAACCCTCAACATTCCAGAACGTCTAGAAATCCATCCCCAAGAGCCAGCCGTTCCAGATCTACATCCCACAGCTCTCACACTCGAAGAGAAGGTTCGCGAAGGCAAGGTTCGCGAGAGACTAGTTCGCGAAGGGAGGAATCACGAGACAGACGTTCGCGAAAGGATGACTCACGACATTCACGAAAGGAAGGTTCGCACACGGAGGATTCGCGAAGTCATAGTTCTACGGAACAAGAACTATCTGATGAACATACTGACTACGTCTTCTCAGATACGGAAGTTACAGCTTGAATAGCTAATGGATTGAACTTAAAGTCTCCCTCCAAGGAATTGGATGAAGTTTACACATATAAGATGTGCAAGGACGACTTCGACTCAGTCACCATTCCCCCTATTGAGCCTATATCCAAGGTGCCTTGAAATCTACGCACATCTTTTGACAAAGCTACTAGATTCCAGAATCAACATCTGCCAGCATTTAATGCGAGGAAATTCCACTTATATCACATGGACCCCTTAATAAGAGCGCCGGACTTAGATGAAAATATAAAACTGGTCAACGACTCTCGGAACAAGGTCTACAAGGTGGAGGATAAAAAGTTGGCTCAACTTGATACAGCGATGAGGAGATCCTTCTTCGGATTAGCGAGGTCCAGAGCAATCAATGAGGCATTGATTATCAAGTTCCAGAACCCCAGTTCGGAAGAATTCGGAAGATATTATCTGCTCTGCTCACTCAGAAAAAGGACCAATACTTCATATCGGATTATTTGGCCTCAATGTCGGCGGGTCTCACCTTATTACGGAGACAGGGTCTACTGGCATCGTGTTCCTGGAGTGACAGATTTACCCAACCGCTACTTAGAGCTCTTTGGTCGGTGCCTACCACCTTCGGAGGTGAGATAGATGAAGCAGCTAAGGAAGCTACTCACAATTTTGTGAGGACAATCTTTCTTCTTGGCGGATGAAGGACCCAACTCCTCAGACAGCTTACGCGAGTCCCTATCAGAGCAACAGCGAGTACCGACCCTCCTGTAGTCAGTAAAGGTGTCTTCATCCAGATGTTAGCACTGCTCACATCTATGATCCCATGAACACAAGCCAATACAGTCGACACAAGCTGAGTGTGGGTCGGACGTAGAAAATATCTTCTTGCATCGATTACAAATTTCCTTTTCTTGGTAGAACAGTCTCTTTTCCCCATAGTTACAAGGGAACCGTGAAGAAATTTTCTAAGGTCACAGAAACGTCTGCACAGGTCGGCGACAAGAAAGAGAATGATTAGAGATGGGTGGTCACATGAGCAGGTAGTGGAGCAGGCTGCATGCTTCTCAGGAGACACTGAGGCTGTGCTATAAGGGGAGCAGCTTGGAGTGCACAGGCGTATGGACAGGAGGGGCCTGGTTTGGGTTTATAGTTTTGTTTCCACTCAGTTGTTCGAATTAAAGAGAGAGAGTACAAGACCTGAGATAGGTTAAGTATATAGTTCATTTTAAATATTGTACCAGTAACTTTACACTTATTGTAAACACAGCTGTTTATATTCACATGATATCTATACTATATTTGTACAAGTATCTGTACATCAAATTGTTGTATCCTTGTACCTCTTGTACCGCTGTGAGCAGTCTGAGTATAGTCAAGGTCAGTTCTGTACAACATGATATGCGACCACAGGTCTTGACAGCACAATTTCCTGTTGGTGCTAATTCACCTTTAATCTGTTGGTGACACCTGTCATCGTATCCCAATTGGGTAGGTTGATGCTCATAATGTTGATCACTAAATTGTCTGGTCCACACTCAGTTATTTACAGACCGCTGCCATATAGCTGGAATATTGCTGAGTGCGGCGTTAAACAACAAGCAAACACACAAACAAAATATGATCTGTTGTTAAATGGCGCATCATCTATTTTCATTTGTCCATTACTTATGTTTGTAGACTGTCATTCAGCGTTTGGTTGAAAACTGGAAGGCATTGCCAAAAGATGAAAAAGAGGTGTGTATCTTGATGTGAGGCATCCCACCCATGTGTGGAGTCAGTAGATAAAGCTGGGATATTGCTGCTGTGAAGGAAAGTAATTGCACAACTTTGATAGAATGGTCTTCATCCAGTTGTAGACACATGATGACATGTTTTAACATGTTCCATATTCTCTCTCATTGATGCCTGCCGGGTTAGAGTTGGTCTTCAGTAACCAATGCTTGTCGTTAGGGCGATTAACAGGATTGGGTGACACGTCATCGTATCCCAGTTGCGTAGATTGATTCTCATCATTGTCTGGTCCAGATTCGTTTATTTACAGACCGCCACCATATAGTTGGAATATTACTGAGTGTGGCATAAAACTTAAACTCACTCAATAAGTAAATTCTTAGGAAGATTTGTTGTTTGGGATTACAGATGCTAGTTATACTAGTATGCCATTATTCTTGTTTTGCTGCAGAGAACCTCATGATGAAGATTGAGATGCTGCTTATTTCCCCTGGTATTTGTTTCTGGGGATAATTTTCAGTTTGGTGCAAAACCTCGCACCATGTCAATTGTTTAGTGCACTTGTAAAGTTATGTCAATTTTAACAGCAGAACTATTTTGATGGTTGTTCAATAGGATATTCTGTAACAAGGATATCTCTTGAAGCATGCATGAGATCTGTGTGTATGTATGTGTAATCTATGTCATGATCAACAGAATGAAATCAACTTTCCTCTCAACATACGCAGTGTATATGTACAATAATGTTCAACTGATGGCAGTGTCTGTTTTATATTGATTAGTAACTGTTGTTGCAGATCTACTACGAGGACGCTCGGCTGGACCGGGAACGCTACGAGTCTGAGATGAAGGCTTGGGAAGATAAGATGAAGGATATCGGAAGAGAGGACGTCATCAGGATTAAAAGTAGAACCAAAAAACAGAAAGTGACAAAGGCCCCAGCAAGAAAGGTCAAGAAAGCTAAAACTAAAGCTAAAACTAAAGCTAACTCTAAAGCTGGAACAAAAGCTAAAACAAAGACAAAGGATACAAAAGCAACTAAAACAAGGTCTAAGTCTGCTAAGACCGACACCAAATCCACACAAACTGATTAACACATGCTCCCAAAATTTACAGCATGTGAAGTTGTTTCATATTCCATTTATCATGATGATGTGTGTGGAATCATGATACATATTTGATGTCAGAAAAGTATCAGACTGAATCATCATGATACTGATATTATCAAGAACCACATATATGCTTTTCAAAAGAACACCTGATTCTTGTATCTCAAGTCAGTCAGGGCAGGGTAAATTAACTGTAGTAACAGTGTATGAAATAAGCCAAAACCCCAGCCAGACATGAAGGCTGGTAACTTCAAAATGTTACCAGCCCAAAATGGATTTAACTAGAAAAGACAAAAGAAAATACATGTAACTCAATGTTTATTTAGTCAGAGCTTTGAGCTTGCGATACAATAATTAATGTTAAAACAGTAATTGGCAAGTTTAAAAGTAAAGCTCATTTTGAAAAATAGATTTTAAGATATGGTGATTTTACTCAGATGTATGGAACATGTTATCTAAACTTTTTACTTGACCATCGGGCTGGCTAGCTGTAAATTTAGACCGTCTGTCATAAATCTAGCCCGTCTCGGGTGGTCGGACGGGCCTTATTTCATACACTGGTAGTAATATAAAAGAATGGTGTGTTCTGTAGCTTCTTTGAGTATTGCTTATGATCATAAATCAAGATTATTTAAATTTTGGATGTGAGAGAAATGACAATCCACTAGGTAAACTGAAACCATGTGATCATCAAACAGTGCTGTTGTTACATGTATCCCAGGACCATGAAATGTTAGTGCTAGTTAGTGTAGCATGGACGACAGTATATGGTGAACATACTGCCAGTATCCCAGGGCATTGAGACCAAAGATTTGGCCATTCCATGTGCTACCTCATATCTTGTTAATGAAAATCTGATGTTGCCATAGTAAGTTCTAATTTTTAATGCCTTAATAATAGCACTTGTTAATTAAATCACTTGACAGTACAATGAGATTATTTAGCTTAGTTTGTTACAGTGTTCAAATACCATGATCAATAACCATTTCAAAATCTAGGGATCTATGTGTAGAATCCTGATCTTTGAACACAAGTCCAGGTTGCATATTGATTTAGACTTTACTGAGCCGGCTGGTGACGGCTTCATAGATATTCATTGTCTGCTGGTCATGAAAATGTTTCTGCGGATGAATCTTCAGCATTAGTAGGGTGATGGGAAACTGTTGCAGTACAGTGTGACGGCTGTTTATCATGGCAAGGAGCCGCACTCCTTTCTCAAAACATGTCTTCCTCATAAGCATCCTGGATTATCCAATGTATCCTTTCTGCTCTGTTGTGATGAGACACAAGACCAACTTGCTACCATAGCTTAGCACCTGATAAGATAGACACAGTGCTAATCATAGCTGAATGATCAAATTACACAAATAATTTATCAGCAACAGAAATTCTTTGCTAGGTTTGTAATAGGGAATGTGTTTGAGATGATATATCAGCACACAGGATCACGTGACACCAACACTGTGGTGAATGTTCACGTGATCAGTGTGTGTCCTCCCTCCCATCTCACTGTACTTGTGTCAAGGATGCAGTCGGATACTGCATTGTTAGACTAAAGCCAGTTGTGTCATACAGTATGTACAGAGCAATGAGCTTCTAGTTTACCAGTACACTATTTTGTGATGACCCTGATCATGCTAGTTTGTCTTGTTTTTGAAGATCTTTATCACCACCTTGTGTTCATGTGGCTCAGACCCACCAAGGCAAACCAGCAGCCACATCATCGATTATGTTGACACTTTCAATAGAATGTACCACATAAATTACAAGCTAGACACATGCCTCAGTAACTTTCCATTACATCGACTAAACCCCTTCCTTCAGTGTAAACATACCACATGGAATGCAACAATATGTGCAGTGTTCCTTTCTGTGGGGAGTGATAATCATTGTTTGTGGGGTTTGTGCTGTGAGTGTACTTTCTGTGGATATTCCTATTTAATATGTAGGTCGTATAGTTTGGTTGCTATCTGCTGGTTTTCATTGGTGGGCCTGAGGTTGATACTGTGTGTGTGTGTGGGTGCTGTACTTTAACACTGCCATGTTAGCTGGGGCAAGTGAGAAGCCTCTGGTCAAGTAGTATGCATGACTAGTTCCGTATTGGTAACATTGCATGAGAGTGCTGCCTTTGTATATAGCATTTGTATGGAAGGAAACAAAAGAGTGAAATAAATATATCTTATACAAATATTGCAGAAAGTGAGTTTGTTTGGTTTGTGTAGACAGCAGCAGCTGTAGTTGGTAAATTTGATTGAGTGATTTGACCAATTGTACACAATAGTGTCATGCTCTTCCTTGATTTCTGTACAGGCTTCTATTGCAGGAAAATTGCCTGTATCATTAAACAACTCTCCCGTACTCAAACAACCACAACAAACTTTCAAAAGATCATTGTGTTGTGATTTTTATAACTAAAAGGCTCTTATCAAGGCACAGTCCTTGCCAAATACTTTTGATTCAGCCTGCCAAATACTTTTGATTCAGCTTGCCTAAACTTGCAGATTTTATTTTGAACCCAAGATAAACCTGAACAGGTGTCCAGAAGCAGCTTCAAATCACCAGAAGACACACGTCATACAAGAATGGGGATTTCCAACAGGTGGCTAACATCACTCACTGTCTAAATCTTACCTCATGTTACATGCTGGCTGCTTGATTAAGCAGAAATTCACCTGCCTAAGTTGCGATGTTAAACAAAGTAAACAAATACTGATGTTGATAATTCCTTTATTCAGCTCCTCACTACTTTGTAAATATGATGTCCTGTATGAAAATAAATCTTGGACAATGAGAATCAGCCTTCTGCCTTCTCTGACAGCAAGCTGCCTGTGGGAGGCACAAGTTCCTGTGTGTACTGGTGAAAAAGATCATCAAAAGCTCGAAGTAACCATGGTAACTCAATGAATCAAACTGTTACTCGAATGACTTTATCAGGGCTCCAGATAAGGGCTGTATCGGCATATGTATGGATAAAAAATAAGCACGATACAATAGGAAATAATTTAGAAAACGTATCAGAAACACAGCAATGGTGTATGGTCTTAGAATCATTTACTGATGTAGTAATCTGAAAACATATTGCTGTATTGTTTATTGACCTGTTTATACGAGTAGCAATGTTGTGGTGCATATATGAAACGAAACACAAGATCACATACTCCATTAAATTCCATTCAGTACTCAAAATGTACCCTAAGTTTTTACAGTACTCCTATATTTAAAAAATATGGAGTACGTACTCCTGATGTTGAAAAATTATCTGGAGCCCTGACTTTATGTTCAGAATTAAAAACTTTGTGTCTTGAATTAACACACCTCAGTCCAGACAAGTCTAATTTCAGTATACCAACAAGTAGGACTGACTGACTGACTGAGTTTAGTTTTACGCCGCTTTTAGCAATATTCCAGCAATATCACGGTGGGGGACACCAGAAATGGGCCAACAAGTAGGAAGTGAAATAGGAAGTTGCCATGGTTGACATGAGAATCATTTCTTTAAAACATGTTAAAACAATTTTAAGCAAAAATGCAAACAAAAGTCTGAAATGCATATGTACAATAAGAGACCATTTCTGTGCAACAAATCAGTCTGGCCCTGGAAATTAATAACAGCTTAAAGATGTCTGCTTGTGCAATAATTATGCACCATGCAGTTGATAATAGAGACTCAGGCACACATCTTCACAACAAATTTTCACCCTAAGATAGTTTCTACCATTTTGTTAAGGCCACAGGGGGTGGAAATACTAAAATTTCATACTCAAATTTAGTATACTAAAACCTCTGCTTGCGGAGTCTGATTTAGCTCTGCTAAAACAGAGAAAAGAAGAAAAGCTAAATGTTGATAACTGAACAACAACAAGCCAACTTCAATGGGTGTCAGCCACAGGAACACAACTAACCATGTGAATATTGAAACTCTCATTTGCTATTTGTCATAGGTTCTGCACTTCTCCACTTGTCCTATTCTGTTTTCATTGTGTATGTTTTCAATTTGTTTTTATATGGAAACGTCCTGACCAAACTGGAAATATGATGTCACGAGATACACATTTTATATGTTGGGAGATTAACAGTTCAGCCAGTATGAATTCTAAAACAAAATACATTTAGCACACTGACATCTATACAATATGAAGTTCAAAATACTGTTGGAATTATCCAGGAAGTAGCTTGTTCCGCGCTACTGTTGCACATGCTCACTACACCACCGCCATCTAGTGCACGGCAAGTCTAATGCAGGGAGAAGTCTGTGTCAGAGCGGGCAATTACAAATAGTTTTGGAGGCACACAAAGTTTCAAGGTTAAGGCTGTCTATTTTCATACTTGCCTAAGGGCAACCAAATGATATTTTCAAACTTGATGCCAAAACATTTTCATGGATTGGGCATGTCAATCAGACTAATTGAATACCCCTGGACCAATGTTCATGGACACAACGGATAGTAGCTGCTATGTACTATTCAGGATAGTAGCTGCTATGTACTATTCAGGATAGAAGCTGCATGCATACAGTAAGTTAAAGGTCACATGCAACCAAAAAATCAAACATAAGTAAAACACAATTATCACTTATTCCAGGATAGCTGCTATGACATATGATATACATTGCTGATTATGAAAAACATATAAACAAAATTATAAGCTGCATATGTGCAATATTTTGTACTACTTCCCTTGAGGAACCCAGTCAGAAGCGCAGGGTGTGCACTCAAGTGTAGCGGCTGGTTCATTTGCCGATGCCCTCACGGCTCATTGTGTGTGTGTGTATATAGAGATGTCGGGTTTTGTAAATACATGCTCATTTTTTGTGTATAACATTTTGCAATCAACAGACATCATAACATGTCATGTGTACAAGTATCACACCTGCCTGTCTGTGTAATTACATAATGTGACAGCGACCGAACTCGGGCCATAAATCAATGCGTTTTGTTTATGGTGTATAGCCTGATAGGTGTTAAGTTCAAATTGCATGTGGTCAGTGATCGAGTTGTGTATTGAATATTATCATTAGCAGACAGGCAGGCAGACACATAGGTGTCAATAAAACAGACATTGAGTTTTGTCTGTGACAACGACACATCTATATCACAGTTAGAATCTCTGTCAACGCTAAATAATGACATTGCTTTTAAGTATCGAACTGAGAAAGTGACTCGGTAAGAACGTGTGGTGAAATAGACAAATGAAATTATATAAACAGTTAAATCGGTAATCTACTGTCATAACATATAAAAAGCTTGTGCCTGTGAAATATCAACAAAACATTAGAAACATAGCTCACATCAAAACCTTCACCGAGTATTCACAGCCAGCGAAGGTTTTCCGTCTTGAAATGTCGAACGTCTCACTGGTTGACACATAGCTGAGTAGATCTAGATCCTAACATGTAACGAGTAGATTATTTACTATTTGTTTTGATTAGACTACTCCTGCTCACGACCTTATAATCCGGACATCCCGCTTCCAAGCTGCGCGAACCTATTTCACTGCGAATGTGCCATGAGCGCAGCCCAGCGCAGCGAAGCACAGCTGTTGAAACCACTTTTCACCCCAAACGCTGGGTGATTTGATGATTTGTATCTGTAAGTCCATACCGAAAGGTATCAGACGTTGCATGTGACCTTTAACAACATATGTAAAGCTTTGACATTGAGTACACGATGTCAAATTTCAATGCATAATACGAAAAAGAGAATCATGGGGTTTTGACAGAACTGACTTTGAGATCAACACAACCATGTTGACATGGTTACCAAAGGCATATGCATGCTCCTACCATAAGTCATGTATAATGTTGACACTGAAATACTTCTGAATGTAACCTGTTTCAGACTACAGTTATCCATTGTGGCTGGAAGGTATCACAACACAGCCTGTAATTGTGGATCCATGTTCCTTGCCTTGTTTTAAGTTGTATATCTCATATTTGTGTAGAGACGAAGTATTGTACAGCTTAATGCAGTTTTGAACAAAGTAAACATGTTTCATTCAACAAAATAACAAACAGCTGTACATTAATGTGCCACAAAAACTACATATATATCTTGAATCTACCATGAATAAGCATTCAGAACATGATAAATTTATGTTTCTGAAAAATATGCACAGAAACATTTGCTTTCAAAAATCATCCAACATTGCTCAATTAATGCACATTTTATTGTGCAAAATGCACCATTCTAATTTCCTTTTGGGGGTTTTCATTCATGTCATTTAATACCTTGTACTACTATAAATGGTTGTACTTAATGTAGTTTCTTTATTTTCATAAATACCACTTGTGGACACATCTTTGTTCAACAGGCACAATTCTGTTGTCCACGGTCAGGCAGTGACGGGTATGATTGGCTCCATCTCAGGAAGTCTCTTCTACACATAACAGGGCACCTGTCTCGTGTGCACATTACCTCCTCTACTGTTGTATACCGGTATACATAATGATGCATAATGACGTAAGCTCACACAACTGTCTGCTTCACAAACATTCCTGGCAGATGGTGATGGTAGAAGCTCCATTCCAGCTGCTTCTTGTCTGCCATGACAGGAACTGAATTCTAAACAGGGCAGTCCATCTGCGATTCCCACAAACAGCACTAATCTCATCACACACACAAACACAGATGTGCTAACTAGAGCACCACTCATGTCATAACAGCATTGCATATGAGGAACGTGAAGAGATACAGAGCAAAGTCCTCCGTGACTGCAGTGAAGTAGCCCATAGTTCTGTTAAAGACGGCAACAAACTCTGGCTTTATCCCTGACAACACAAGAGCCCCTGACATCAATGAGCTATTGTGAGGCAGGGCAACATCCTGTTTAAATAGAAAAGATATTTCGTACTGTAACAAACATGAATTTGTTATGGGGAAAAAATATACAAATTTTTAACTCACAAAACTTTTTTTCAGATTTTGTGCATGAATGTGAAACGACATCCTAAATTGAGAGAAGTTTCACCTGTATCAATTGGTAATGAGAAGTAGACATATAAGTCCATGCATTGCTTTGTAGTAATGATGAATGGCTATCATGTCAAAGTTCCAAAAATGTTTCTTGGTTACCTCAACTTTTGAAGACACACTTCCTTTTAAAATGTCAAATGAAACATAGGTTATGTTTAAGATATTTTGTCCACTTCTAAAAGGCATTGTATTCAAAGTTTTGGCCATGAAAGCCATGTGAATGTACACTTGGCACAAAAGTACACCAACGATGTGATCTAGGCTACCAGTTGTCAAATTTCCATTTTCCTTCTTTGTCTGCTGTCAGTTAGGTTCCTCACTCTGAGAGGGTGCGTTTAAATCCTGAATGAGAATCAAGCTAAACAAGTACTAGAATGTAAGAAAGTGAAATCCCACAAGTAACATATGTTACATCAATCTGGTCATACACTAAATGAGGTTCAAATCAATCAACATGTTAATCCTACCTTCATGTATGTGTAGTGAAACGAATACAGTCCCACTTGAAGCAGTACAAAAGGCAAGAAGATTGACTGAAACAAAAATATTAGGGGTGACTATTGAGAGGGAACCAACTATTGCGATAGCAATAGTCTATTGCAACGTACTACATGTATTGTGATAACGATAGTCTATTGCGACCAACTATTGCAATAGTTTTTTTCTCCTTGAATTGTCTCATTTGAAATCATTTCCCAAAATGAATATATAGTTTATATGAAATAAAAACAAGTTGAAGTAGTTTCAGTCTCTTTTAATAACTGACAAGTAACTTGAAACCCAGATGAAGTAAACAGTTAAAACATAAACTTATTGTTATTCACAACTTCAAACCTTGCCATGTTTGTTTGGGGCGGTGGGGTAGCCTAGTGGTTAAAGTGTTGGCTCGTCACGCAGAAGACCCGGGTTCGATTCCCCACATGGGCACAATGTGTTAAGCTCATTTCTGGTGTCCCCCGCCGTGATATTGCTGGAATATTGCTAAAAGCGGCGTAAAACAACTCAGTCAGTCAGTCAGTCAGCCATGTTTGTTTAAGAGGTAACAGGGGCAGATAACTCTAGATCAAAGTGAATGAATCTGGTACTTCCTGTACTTTGCGCTGTGCATTTAACAACGGAAGTCAATTACTAAACTATCGATAGTCACACATACTATTGATGCATCGATAGTTTTTCGTTTCTACCATCGATTAACTGCTATCGGAGACTCAACAATTGCAATCCATCGATAGTTTGATGCATCGTTACAGCACTAAAAAATATTATCACAAGTCTGTATGTGATGTAAAAGACACCCTCTTACCGGTATATATCTAACTACCCTGGTTTGAAAAACCAGTGTTAATTACATTTGAAGTGAAAACTGTCTGCTTATGAAAACTGTTTAAATGTTACACTGTATCAAGCATCCTGTATTACTGCATGTAGGAGAACTAACAAACCTGGACATAGAAGACTCCATAACCAGATGATAGCACCCATCTGATGAAGAAGGCCACTATTACACAGCTCCCTAGTCGGAGGTTTTCCAGAATCTGCAGCAACCCAGCAGTCTCTTGTGTGATTTGCTTTTTGCTTTGTGTTGACTGACCACTGCCACTAGTGCCAGCAACCCTCACAGGGGACACAGCAGGAGCGGCCCTCACAGAGCTGAGAGAGGGGCGGGGGTGTACCATTGTACCTTCAGGCACTGATGAAGAAGACCTGGAAGGGGAGGATGTGTCACCATCATCTCCTGGCGACTCGCTCACTTGTGGTGTGCCTTGCAAAACATCAGGTTCTGTTGAAGGTGTCGTTGGTGATGGAGTTGTTCTTTCTGATTCATCAGTACTAACTGGGGAGCTTGATTCATCTAAAATACAAAAGTCCCAATTATTACTCTTGTTAACAGTCCTGTTGAGTATTAATGATTTCATATGGGAATGACAAGTCTCTACGGATGATCAACTTCTTTATTGTACGATAGCGATGTAACCGTGTAGATACTTATACCGTTTTCAAGCATGAGGTGGTGAATAGATACAGCAGCATATATTATAGGGTACATGAGGGCTAACAAAGACAATGGATGATAAACAAGATGATTAACAATGAAAACAAGCAAAATTATACACGCGGCAAGATGACAGCATGATGAATAGGATACCAGTGAGGGTGGGGATGACTAATAAGGGGAGAGGATTAGTTAGAGGAGCCTTTCTACTTGAAGAGTTCTACGGCAATATTGTCATGTCGTAATTATGAAAACATGGAAGGTTTTCGAGAATATTGTGATAATTTAACATGTGTGAAGAGTCTTGGCAGCTTCAGTGTGAAATATAAATTTGCAATCAATATAATCAAGCTCAATTATAGTGCTAATCATGACAGAGGGTAGACTCATTGTTGTTTTCAAATTAGAAAAAACAGACTTTCCGTAAAACTTGTATTTTTGATCACTGACGATAAGTCATTGATTTAACTGAAAACATGAAACACAAAAGGTGATTGATATATTTGCTACTGATGTCACTTGCTGAGTGACAGTTGCTCTGGGCCTTACACATGTTTGGGTAAAATAATATGATGCATCGTTTGTTTTTGTTTTGAATGAACCAAATCTTTATACATGTGGTCATGTGTTCTCAACTAAAATTTTTCAGTTGTAATTTTTGAAAGGTAAAAAAGAGTATTTGTACTCAGTCTTATTTTAAAAAGTTGGCCCACCCGAAATATCGTAAGAGAGAATTTTCAAAAGCGGGCCCACATTTCTGTCTACTTCGATGCCAATGGTTTTGTTGGTGAGGTGGGTTTTCATTCATTTGCATAACTACAGTCAACACATTTTTTTATATGCTAAGATTTGTAGTTTTACTCGTTGTTTAAAATGTGTGCCCACTCACAAAAATCTCTATCTCATACATTTCTGTTTCCACTTTAATGTATACAATTTGGTTGCTGATATTGTATGTAGTAAACACTTGTTTTTAATGCTCAAAACTTTGACAAGATGTGTTTATAATATTATATGTTCGAGCATCTCCTTAGCTAACAAATTCAACAGCAAAATAAATGTAGTTCACAGTAAGATAACTATTATTGATATATCCCAAAGCAAATCTCGTGATTGTCGTTGTTTGTCTTAGGGGCTCGAAAACACCGTACGCGAGGTTATATTTAGAAAGTGTCCATTAACAGCCAGCTGACTGAAAACACTAACAACTGCTTGAGTAGTGAGCTAATATGACATGAATCATACAAACATGGCGTTAGAATTTCTAACAAGTTTCACTTCACAGGTGATTTTAACCTCCCGCTCTGCACCAGAGACAGGTGGCATACTGACAGGCTGGTTAAACCCATTCTTGTTATCTAGATTACACGAGAGCATGAGTTGTACTCCAACATTTGATAGCAAAACCCCATTAAACGTCTTGAAGAAAAAAAATCAGTGCATATTGGCAAGGCAATTATCCATTTCTGAAAATAACAACGAAAAGGAACAATCACCCAGTTCACTATCGATCGGCTTTCCCAGCAGCCGGTTCAATCGATTTTCTGAATTTTGAAGAATCTTTCGTCTTCTTGCCTCTCGTCTTGCTGCAAGTTCAGCCATGATGATTTCCCTTTTAATAATTATTTTCGTATCTACGTTACTGATACAAATTGCTCATGGGCGTAGTCTCCAGTGAATACTATTGATATAAATACTACAAAAATAAATCACTATAAGTCATATCAATTGTATTAATATTCATTTTGACTTCTACAACACAGTTCTTGTTATCAGCTGTTTTTATCCGAACAATCAGCGGCCGATCATACTGAGTTGTCTCTTTGTTTACTTCCGGTAACCTTTCTCCCCTGTTTGACAAGCTGCCCTACAGTTCACCGAGCCGCATAATGCCCGACGTTTGCTGCTGCCATAATAACCACCCCATCTAGGTCCGAAATCATATTTCGAATAAGGATATGCTGACCTTTTGTAGTTACTTGTGCTGTAGAATTTCGTGGCATAAATGATTAGGTCACGAAACTACTCAGGCAGTCCGGGTTTGTGTAAATGTTTTGTTAAATAAACCAAATTTGTCATTAGTCCCACCAGATTTCAGTTTGTACTTGCCTCACCATCTGATCGTGTCTATTGCAAACCATCCCATGTAACATAATCTAATGGCTGGATATAAGTGTATCTCCTCGCTTCCACTGACGTGAAATGGATCCTTCAACCAAGCAGAATCTTGATGTCATCCTGAAAACATTTCTGTCAGGAGGTGAGACCAGGTTTTGAATGAATTATTTTATTTTGGGTAAGAGTTCCTCCCGTTCCCCTATCTCCAATAATATTTATAAATTAATATATATTAAAATTATTAACAAAACCTAACGCAACAATTACTAGAGAACTCACAAAAATAACTAAAACCTCAAAACTTAATTATAGTACCGTCTCCTATTCTCGCGGGTTTCCTATTCTCGTGGTAAACATGTTTTCTGCCAATATCGCCGATGCGCGACACGGAGCGGTTGTTAACCTTGCCAACCGGTAACTAGGAAGTGCCCCAAGTCTGCGAGTGATCAAAATCTTGCAATTTCACGAATATTGGTGAGTATATACCAACTTGGACATATCATAACTTTTCCCCGCCCTTTCCTGTATGATTGCTCTTCCATGCACTCCACAACGTTACTTTCTCGTTATACCGCGAGAATGGGAGAAGCCTCATGTCGTCAATGGCGGATGGCATTGTTTATCACCGGGCTCACAAATGGTAATTCACCTGATGGATCTAGCAGCTGATAGATGCAGATGACAGAGGAGAAGACCCTTCATTTAAAAACAACAAGCATTCATACGATAAGAATTGTTTGTGTTATTTTTTCAGCCGATAACCGTAAGTACCGCGAGAATAGGAAACGCCTTCATACAATATATAGGGTCGAACCATGTTGCGTTACTTCTGTTAATCTGCGGAAGAAAGACATAGGGGAACGGGAGGAACTCTTACCCTTAACTCTTTCCCTAATTAGTGCCTCATAGGAAATCAGACTCACATCTCCAGCTTTAACCATGTTAACATGTTGAAGCTAAACTAGGATAATAATAACATTCCGAACTCCTTTAGAATTCAGCTAACCGACTGAGCTACTCCACTCTGTTCTGCTCTGTGTAAACTGATCTAGTCATTCCGAAGTCCTTTAGAATTCAGCTAACCGACTGAGCTACTCCACTATGTTCTGCTCTGTGTAAACTGATCTAGTCATTCCGAAGTCCTTTAGAATTCAGCTAACCGACTGAGCTCCTCCACTCTGTTCTGCTCTGTGTAAACTGATCTACTCATTCCTATGCCATTACACCCATGAAGATCCGGGTTAGAATATTGATCTTCAGTAACCCATGTCTGTCATAAGAGGCGACTAACAGGAATGGGTGGTCAGGCTCGCTGACTTGGTTGACACATGTCATTGGTTCCCAACTGCGCAGATCGATGCTCATGCTGTTGATCACTGGCTTGTCTGGTCCAGACTCGATTATTTACAGACTGCCACCATATAGCTGGAATATTGCTGAGTGGGGCGTTAAACTAAACTGGCTCTCACTCACTCACTCCTAAGCCATTATGGAAATGAAACAGTTGAAGAGGTCATGGACAATTACAAAGGTTACAGGTAACCATAATATTGTCTCATAACTTTAGTTCTACGGACATGAGTGATCCTGATGCCATTTTGGCACTCTCTTCCTATTCCGTAATCCTCAAGGTACTGAGTGGTGAGGTACGGGCCAATACTAAAATAGCTGTAAATGTCAGCAGCTGAATTCTTGGGCACACATGAATGACATCATACTCGGTAATATTTCTGGTGATGTTGTTGTGAGGATAATGTGTATCATAGTAAGGAACCAGGAAGGAATACATGGCTGGTAATGCCACAAGAGTTGGTTGGCTTTTGAATCAGTCCTAAACAATTGTAGAGGATGAAAGTGGTTTGGTTGAAAGTTTCAGGACAATTTCCAGTAAGAAAATATCCTAGATTAAACCATATGATCCTGTTCTCTAGATGTGGCTTTTTGTGAACAATATGTATATACATACCAACAGAAGTGTTACTTTTTCTGATCAACTATTAGCAACGTAACCATGGCATGTACATTTGTCTCATTTTTAAACAGGCATTGCAGGATGTTGTGCGAAAACCACAGTGGCGCCTCTTGACAGAGTGAAGATTCTGCTGCAGGCTCACAACAAGCACTACAAACATCTAGGTGACTGGTCATCAACTGGAACACATTAGTGTCTTAAGAGACAGCATCATTTATACACACTTGAAATAAAGCACTGAACAGCATATTGCAAATTATGCTTGTTTGACAACATTGTGGTGTACTTGTGCTGGTCCTTGGTTAGACACAAATTGGAGCACAAGTGAATTTGAGTTAGTTTAAAATAAAGTTGTTGTATAGAATGAGTTGTGGGTATTTATCACAAGAGAATAAGTTGTGTCTTTTTGTCACAATAAAATGCATCCTGGGTATTTATCACTGTAGAAAAAGTAGTGGGTATTTGTCACAATTAAATGTGTCTTGGGTATTTATCACTATAGAATAAGTCGTGGGTATTTGTCACAATAGAATGTGTCCTGGGTATTTGTCACTATAGAAAAAGTCGTGGGTATTTGTCACAATAGAATGTGTCCTGGGTATTTGTCACTATAGAATAAGTTGTGGTATTTGTCACAATAGAATGTGTCCTGGGTATGTGTCACTATAGAATAAGTCGTGGGTATTTGTCACAATAGAATGTGTCCTGGGTATTTGTAACTATAGAATAAGTTGTGGTATTTGTCACTATAGAATAAGTCGTAAGTATTTGTCACTATACTGACTGACTGACTGAGTTTGGTTTTACGCCGCTTTTAGCAATATTCCAGCAACATCACGGCGGGGGACACTAGAAATGGGCTTCATTGTCACAATAGAATGTGTCCTGGCTATTTGTCATTATAGAATAAGTCATGGGTATTTGTCACATTAGAATTTGTCCTGGGTATTTGTCACTATAGAATAAGTTGTGGGTATTTGTCACAATAGAATGTGTCCTTGGAATTTGTCACTATAGAATAAGTTGTGGGTATTTGTCACAATAGAATGTGTCCTGGGTATTTGTCACTATAGAATAAGTTATGGTATTTGTCACTATAGAATAAATCCTGGGTATTTGTCACAATAGAATGTGTCCTGGGTATTTGTCACTATAGAATAAGTTGTGGTATTTGTCACTATAGAATAAGTCATGGGTATTTGTCACATTAGAATTTGTCCTGGGTATTTGTCACCATAGAATAAGTTGTGGTATTTGTCACTATAGAATAAGTCATGGGTATTTGTCACAATAGAATGTGTCCTGGGTATTTGTCACTATAGAATAAGTTGTGGTATTTGTCACTATAGAATAAGTCATGGATATTTGTCACATTAGAATTTGTCCTGGGTATTTGTCACCATAGAATAAGTTGTGGTATTTGTCACTATAGAATAAGTCCTGGGTATTTGTCACATTAGAATTTGTCCTTGGAATTTGTCACTATAGAATAAGTTGTGGTATTTGTCACTATAGAATAAGTCATGGGTATTTGTCACATTAGAATTTGTCCTGGGTATTTGTCACTATAGAATAAGTTGTGGGTATTTGTCACAATAGAATGTGTCCTGGGAATTTGTCACTATAGAATAAGTCCTGGGTAGTATTTGTCATGATGGAATAATGTGTCCTGGTATTTGTCACAATAGAATGGGTATTTGTCACTATCGAATAAGTCGTGTATTTGTCACAACAGAATGAGTCATGGGTATTTGTCACTATAGAATAAGTCCTGGGTATTTGTCACAATATAATGTGTCCTGGGTATTTGTCACTATAGATTAGGTCGTGGGTATTTGTCACTATAGAATAAGTTGTTGGTATTTGTCACAATAGAATGTGTCCTAGTTATTTGTCACTATAGAATAAGTTGTGGTATTTGTCAGAATATGATGTGTCCTGGGTATTTGTCACTATAGATTAGGTCGTGGGTATTTGTCACTATAGAATAAGTCGTGGGTATTTGTCACTATAGGATGTGTCCTAGGTTTATTTGTCACTATAGGATGAGTCAGGGGTAATCATCACAATAGAATGAATACATTGGACAATCAAGGCTGTATATCATGCTGAAATTCTTCCCCTGTCAGGTGTGTTTTCTACACTGAAGCAAGTGGTCCACAAGGAAGGCTTCACTGGACTCTACAAGGGAAATGGTGTTCAGATGCTGAGAATATTTCCTTATGCGGCCATTCAGTACATGTCATATGAGCAGTATAAGAAGGTCAGTTATGTCATTGTAGTAAGGTAGTACAGTATGAGAATGTGAGCTATGTCATTGTAGTAAGGAAGTACAGTATAAGAAGGTCAGTTATGTCATTGCAGTAAGGAAGTACAGTATGAGAATGTGAGCTATGTCATTGTAGTAAGGAAGTACAGTATGAGAAGGTCAGCTATGTCATTGTAGTAAGGAAGTACAGTATGAGAATGTGAGCTATTTCATTGTAGTAAGGAAGTACAGTATGAGAATGTGAGCTATGTCATTGCAGTAAGGAAGTACAGTATGAGAATGTGAGCTATTTCATTGTAGTAAGGAAGTACAGTATGAGAATGTGAGCTATGTCATTGTAGTAAGGAAGTACAGTATGAGAAGGTCAGTTATGTCATTGTAGTAAGGAAGTACAGTATGAGAAGGTCAGTTATGTCATTGTAGTAAGGAAGTACAGTATGAGAAGGTCAGTTATGTAATTGTAGTAAGGTAGTACAGTATGAGAATGTGAGCTATGTCATTGTAGTAAGGAAGTACAGTATGAGAATGTGAGCTATGTCATTGTAGTAAGGAAGTACAGTATGAGAAGGTCAGTTATGTCATTGTAGTAAGGAAGTACAGTATGAGAAGGTCAGTTATGTCATTGTAGTAAGGAAGTACAGTATGAGAAGGTCAGTTATGTAATTGTAGTAAGGAAGTACAGTATAAGAAGGTCAGCTATGTCATTGTAGTAAGGAAGTACAGTATGAGAAGGTCAGTTATGTCATTGTAGTAAGGAAGTACAGTATGAGAATGTGAGCTATTTCACTGTAGTAAGGAAGTACAGTATGAGAAGGTCAGTTATGTCATTGTAGTAAGGAAGTACAGTATGAGAAGGTCAGTTATGTCATTGTAGTAAGGAAGTACAGTATGAGAAGGTCAGTTATGTCATTGTAGTAAGGAAGTACAGTATGAGAAGGTCAGTTATGTCATTGTAGTAAGGAAGTACACTATGAGAAGGTCAGTTATGTCATTGTAGTAAGGAAGTACATTATGAGAAGGTCAGTTATGTCATTGTAGTAAGGAAGTACAGTATGAGATGGTCAGTTATGTCATTGTAGTAAGGAAGTACAGTATAAGAAGGTCAGCTATGTCATTGTAGTAAGGAAGTACAGTATGAGAAGGTCAGTTATGTCATTGTAGTAAGGAAGTACAGTATGAGAATGTGAGCTTTTTCACTGTAGTAAGGAAGTACAGTATGAGAAGGTCAGTTATGTCATTGTAGTAAGGAAGTATAGTATGAGAATGTGAGCTATTCCATTGTAGTAAGGAAGTACAGTATGAGAATGTGAGCTATTTCATTGTAGTAAGGAAGTACAGTATGAGAATGTGAGCTATTCCATTGTAGTAAGGAAGTACAGTATGAGAATGTGAGCTATTTCATTGTAGTAAGGTAGTACTGTATTAGAATGTAAGCTATTTAATTGTAGTAAGGAAGACAGTATGAGAATGTGAGCTATTCCATTGAAGTAAGGAAATACAGTATGAGAATATGAACTATTCCATTGTAGTAAGGAATTACAGTATGAGAATATGAGCTATTCCATTGTAGTAAGGTACTACAGAAAAGAATGTGAGCTATTCCATTGTAGTAAGGTACTACAGAATGAGAATGTGAGCTTTTTCATTGTAGTAAGGAAGTACAGTATTAGAATATGAACTATTCCATTGTAGTAAGGAATTACAGTATGAGAATATGAGCTATTCCATTGTAGTAAGGAAGTGCAGAATGAGAATGTGAGCTATTCCATTGTAGTAAGGTACTACAGAATGAGAATGTGAGCTTTTTCATTGTAGTAAGGAAGTACAGTATTAGAATATGAACTATTCCATTGTAGTAAGGAATTACAGTATGAGAATATGAGCTATTCCATTGTAGTAAGGAAGTGCAGAATGAGAATGTGAGCTTTTCACTGTAGTAAGGTACTACAGAATGAGAATGTGAGCTTTTTCATTGTAGTAAGGAAGTACAGTATGAGAATATGAACTATTCCATTGTAGTAAGGAATTACAGTATGAGAATATGAGCTATTCCATTGTAGTAAGGAAGTACAGAATGAGAATGTAAGCTTTTTCACTGTAGTAAGGTACTACAGAATGAGAATGTGAGCTTTTTCATTGTAGTAAGGAAGTACAGTATGAGAATATGAACTATTCCATTGTAGTAAGGAATTACAGTATGAGAATATGAGCTATTCCATTGTAGTAAGGAAGTACAGAATGAGAATGTGAGCTTTTTCACTGTAGTAAGGTACTACGGAATGAGAATGTGAGCTTTTTCATTGTAGTAAGGAAGTACAGTATGAGAATATGAACTATTCCATTGTAGTAAGGTACTTCAGAAAAGAATGTGAGCTATTCCATTGTAGTAAGGTACTACAGAATGAGAATGTGAGCTTTTTCATTGTAGTAATGAAGTACAGTATGAGAATATGAACTATTCCATTGTAGTAAGGAATTACAGTATGAGAATATGAGCTATTCCATTGTAGTAAGGAAGTACAGAATGAGAATGTGAGCTTTTTCACTGTAGTAAGGTACTACAGAATGAGAATGTGAGCTTTTTCATTGTAGTAAGGAAGTACAGTATGAGAATATGAACTATTCCATTGTAGTAAGGAATTACAGTATGAGAATATGAGCTATTCCATTGTAGTAAGGAAGTACAGAATGTGCATGTGAGCTATTCCATTGGAGTAAGGTACTACAGAATGAGAATGTAAGCTATTCCATTGTAGTAAGGTACTACAGAATGAGAATGTGAGCTGTTTCATTGTAGTAAGGAAGTACAGTATGAGAATATGAGCTTTTTTTATTGTAGTAAGGAAGTACAGTATTAAAATGTGAGCTATTCCATTGTAGTAAGGTACTACAGAATGAGAATGTGAGCTTTTTCATTGTAGTAAGGAAGTACAGTATGAGAATATGAGCTTTTTCATTGTAGTAAGGTAGTACAGTATTAGAATGTGAGCTATTTCATTGTATTAAGGTAGTACTGTATGAGAATGTGAGCTATTCCATTGTAGTAAGGAAGTACAGTATGAGAATGTGAGCTATTCCATTGTAGTAAGGAAATACAGTATGGGAATGTGAGCTATTCCATTGAAGTAAGGAAATACAGTATGAGAATATGAACTATTCCATTGTAGTAAGGAATTACAGTATGAGAATATGAGCTATTCCATTGTAGTAAGGTACTACAGAAAAGAATGTGAGCTATTCCATTGTAGTAAGGTACTACAGAATGAGAATGTGAGCTTTTTCATTGTAGTAAGGAAGTACAGTATTAGAATATGAACTATTCCATTGTAGTAAGGAATTACAGTATGAGAATATGAGCTTTTTCATTGTAGTAAGGAAGTACAGAATGAGAATGTGAGCTTTTTCACTGTAGTAAGGTACTACAGAATGAGAATGTGAGCTTTTTCATTGTAGTAAGGAAGTACAGTATGAGAATATGAGCTTTTTCATTGTAGTAAGGAAGTACAGAATGAGAATGTGAGCTTTTTCACTGTAGTAAGGTACTACAGAATGAGAATGTGAGCTTTTTCATTGTAGTAAGGAAGTACAGTATGAGAATATGAACTATTCCATTGTAGTAAGGAATTACAGTATGATAATATGAGCTATTCCATTGTAGTAAGGAAGTACAGAATGTGCATGTGATCTATTCCATTGTAGTTAGGTACTACGGAATGAGAATGTGAGCTATTCCATTGTAGTAAGGTACTACAGAATGAGAATGTGAGCTGTTTCATTGTAGTAAGGAAGTACAGTATGAGAATATGAGCTTTTTCATTGTAGTAAGGAAGTACAGTATTAGAATGTGAGCTATTCCATTGTAGTAAGGTACTACAGAATGAGAATGTGAGCTATTTCATTGTAGTAAGGAAGTACAGTATGAGAGTATGAGCTTTTTCATTGTAGTAAGGTAGTACAGTATTAGAATGTGAGCTATTTCATTGTAGTAAGGTAGTACTGTATTAGAATGTGAGCTTTTTCATTGTAGTAAGGTAGTACAGTATGTGCATGTGAGCTATTTCATTGTAATAAGGTCGTATGGTATGAGAATTTCGAGCTTTTTCATTGTTCAATTGTTATACCGTAAGAGAAGGTGGGCTTTTTCATTGTTGTGTTGTAATACAGTATGAGAATTTACTTTGCAGCTCATCAAGACATTTTCGATATCTCCACATTTTGTGAAACTACTGTCTGGATCCTTAGCAGGTACGTCTTTAGTATTCCTGGCTTTGTCCTTGAATGGCGACCGCCTCCTAGTGTAGTGGTTAGAGCCTTAGCCCGGAGAGCAGAAGGTCGCGGGTTCGATCCCCGGCTGCGTCATACCAAAAGACGTTAAAATATGGTACTTGTTGGTCCCTGCCAGGCGCTCGGCATTAAAGCATACATCAAGGACTGATCGGCTCGGAGTTAGTATAATGTGTCTGAGTGGGGTATTCATGCCTCACTGCGGCATGGTATCTCAGTGAGCTAGCACTATAAAACCAGCTTCAGTCTGGGCTAGTACAAGCAGCCACACATACACATACACACTCATGCACGTCGTCATATGAGCGAAATATTCTCAAGCACAAAGTTAAACCCAATTTCACCTCACCTCACCACCTTGAATGGCACATATACCCAAGATCTTTTGCTGTTGAGGTAGAAATGGGGATGATGATCTAATGGGACCTTCCCCAAAGCCTGTGACAAGTTTGGATCACAGTCATGATTGGATGACCCTCCCCTAAAGCCAGTGACATATTTGGATGACCCTCTCCTAAAGCCTGTAACATGTTTGGATGACCCTCCCATAAAGCCTGTGACATGATTGGATGACCCTCCCATAAAGCCTGTGACATGTTTGGATGACCCTCCTCTAAAGCCTGTGCCATGATTGGATGACCCTCCCCTAAAGCCTGTGACATGATTGGATGACCCTCCCCTAAAGCCTGTGACATGTTTTGATGTCCCTCCCATAAAGCCTGTGCCATGATTGGATGACCCTCCCCTAAAGCCTGTGACATGTTTGGATGACCCTCCCCAAATGCTCGTGACATGTTTTGATGTCTCTTCCCTAAAGCCTGTGACATGTTTGGATGACCCTCCCCTAAAGCCTGTGACATGATTGGATGACCCTCCCCTAAAGCCTGTGACATGATTGGATGACCCTACCCTAAAGCCTGTGACATGTTTGGATGACCCTTCCCTAAAGCCTGTGACATGATTGGATCACCCTCCCCTAAAGCCTGTGACATGATTGGATGACCCTCCCATAAAGCCTGTGACATGATTGGCTGACCCTCCCCTAAAGCCTGTGACATGTTTGGATGACCCTTCCCTAAAGCCTGTGACATGATTGGATGACCCTCCCCTAAAGCCTGTGACATGATTGGATGACCCTCCCATAAAGCCTGTGACATGTTTGGATGACCCTCCCCTAAAGCCTGTGACATGTTTGGTTGACCCTCCCCTAAAGCCTGTGACATGATTAGATGACCCTCCCCTAAAGCCTGTGACATGATTGAATGACCCTCCCCTAAAGCCTGTGACATGTTTGGTTGACCCTCCCCTAAAGCCAGTGACATGTTTGGATGACCCTCCCCAAATGCTCGTGACATGTTTGGATGACCCTCCCCTAAAGCCTGTGACATGATTGGATGACCCTCCCCTAAAGCCTGTGACATGATTGGATGACCCTCCCCTAAAGCCTGTGACATGATTGGATGACCCTCCCCTAAAGCCTGTGACATGATTGGATGACCCTCCCTAAAGCCTGTGACATGATTGGATGACCCTCCCTAAAGCCTGTGACATGATTGGATGACCCTCCCTAAAGCCTGTGACATGATTGGTTGACCCTCCCTAAAGCCTGTGACATGATTGGATGACCCTCCCCTAAAGCCTGTGACATGATTGGTTGACCCTCCCCTAAAGCCTGTGACATGATTGGATGACCCTCCCCTAAAGCCTGTGACATGATTGGTTGACCCTCCCCTAAAGCCTGTGACATGATTGGATGACCCTCCCCTAAAGCCTGTGACATGATTGGATGACCCTCCCTAAAGCCTGTGACATGATTGGATGATGTGACATCTCCCTAAAGCCTGTGACATGATTGGATGACCCTCCCCTAAAGCCTGTGACATGATTGGATGACCCTCCCCTAAAGCCTGTGACATGATTGGATGACCCTCCCCTAAAGCCTGTGCCATGATTGGATGACCCTCCCTAAAGCCTGTGACATGATTGGATGACCCTCCCTAAAAGCCTGTGACATGTTTGTTGACCCTCCCCTAAAGCCTGTGACATGGACATGGATGACCCTCCCCTAAAGCCTGTGACATGATTGGATGACCCTCCCCTAAAGCCTGTGACATGATTGGATGACCCTCCCTAAAGCCTGTGACATGATTGGATGACCATCCCCCTAAAGCCTGTGACATGATTGGATGACCCTCCCCTAAAGCCTGTGACATGATTGGATGACCCTCCCCTAAAGCCTGTGACATGATTGGATGACCCTCCCCTAAAGCCTGTGACATGATTGGATGACCCTCCCCTAAAGCCTGTGACATGATTGGATGACCATCCCCTAAAGCCTGTGACATGATTGGATGACCCTCCCCTAAAGCCTGTGACATGATTGGATGACCCTCCCCTAAAGCCTGTGACATGATTGGATGACCCTCCCCTAAAGCCTGTGACATGATTGGATGACCCTCCCCTAAAGCCTGTGACATGATTGGATGACCCTCCCCTAAAGCCTGTGACATGATTGGATGACCCTCCCCTAAAGCCTGTGACATGATTGGATGACCCTCCCCTAAAGCCTGTGACATGTTTGGATGACCCTACCATAAAGCCTGTGACATGATTGGATGACCTTCCCCTAAAGCCTGTGACATGATTGGATGACTCTCTCCAAATACTCATGACATGTTTGGATGACCCTCCCCAATTACTCATGACATGTTTGGATGACCCTCCCCAATTACTCATGACATGTTTGGATGACCCTCCCCAAGTACTCATGACATGTTTGGATGACCCTCCCCTAAAGCCTGTCACATGCGGTTGACTCTCCCCTATTTTTTCATGATTCTTCCAAATGTGTGCAAAATTGTTTACAACCCTTGTTTAGACTGTATCATATTTTTGTGTTGCTCCCCTGAATCCCTTTTGCCCAAGATGGTGCTGGATTATTGGTATTATCCCATTCAACATCTGTGTTGAGTTTCATTTAACAAAAGTAGCCTATCAGTGTTAAAGTAAACCTTACTCTCTGACCCACAGTCCTTCTTGGTATGCAATGAAGCCATCTGGGCACAATGTGTTAAGCCCATTTCTGGTGTCCCCGCCGTGATAAACTAAACTCAGTCAGTCAGTCTTGTGTAATGTGTAAATACTGAGGTCTCTCGGGTGAAGATCCACGGTAGAATTTCCTCATTCATTCGTGAAAGGCAACTAAATTGGATGTCATTAATGACGGTATCATCCCTCTTCCCCGTCCCCTTAGCCCCCTCTTGTTACAAGCCACTAATTAGTACCTCTATCCCCTCACCTGGCTGTTCTGTTAGCTGTACTCACTCCCCTGTAACTGGATTACCTGCCACTAAGCTCATGAGGTTAGGTGTTGGTTGTGAATAGGTGACTGCGCGGTACATAGGGAGATAATAGAGAATCATGCATCACTGATCAGGAGGAAGCAATATGTAGATAGAGATGACACGATTAAATGTCTTGGACTAGAGTACATGTTATGTGAAAGAAATTTTGACTCATACCTGTGTGCCATTGGACATATGATGGGCAATATGTCTGTTGCGTAACAACAACTGATCTGACTCGGCACCTGACCTACCGAGTTAATTAATAGTAGCAGTTAAATCCAGTTACAGGGGAGTGAATACAGCTAACAGAACAGCCGTACGAGGGACTAGAGGTACTAATTAGTAGCTTGTAACAACAGGGGGCTTGGGACGAGGGGGGCTAGAGGGGTGGAATCTTAATGACTTGGTTAATGCACATCATCACAGAATGGACAGATGCTGCCAGTGGAGGTGACTGCTGTCATGTAGTTGGATTGTTGCTGAGTGTGTCGATATTGACAATAAACACTGTCTAGGTTTGATCTTTTACTCTCTATGGGTATTGCTCATTATAAAAAGATTACTGGCAAATAAGATTTGATGATTGTTTATTACGATGATTGTTCCAACCATTAGGGCTGACATCTGTACTCTTCACGTATCCACTGGATATGGTCCGTGCACGATTAGCATTCCAAGTGAAGGGGGAACACATGTATCAGGGGCTGGTGGACACATTCCGGACAATAATCCTGGTGGAGGGAGGCTTCAAGGCTCTGTACCGTGGCATCATTCCTTCTATCCTGGGAATGGCACCGTATGCAGGTAGGTAGTTGTTCACCATCACTTGAAGGATGTAGGAAGGGATGAGGTGAGCACAGCTGCTTCATATGGTAAGTAGGTAGGAGGGTGGCAGCCTCCAAGTCCATCTGCCAGCAGATCTGCTGATTATTTACTTATTAGCATGTTGACTTTTATGTTAATCCTGAATGTGAAATGTAAGTTTTTTGTGAAACCTAGTGTGAAGTTTACAACTGTATGCTTAAGCCTGAAATTTTACTTTTTAAACTAATGTTTTATTTTAAACTTACTTTTGAGTGAGTGAGTGAGTTGAGTTTTACGCCACACTCAGCAATATTCCAACTATGTGGCGGCGGTCTGTCAATAATCGAGTCTGTGGACAAGACAATCCAGTGATCAACAGCATGAGCATCGATATGCGCAATTGGGAACCGACTTACTTTTGAAGTTTAGGGTTAAAAATTGAAACTTGAGGTTTGTTGTTCAACCAAATATGTAATTTGAAACTGACTGTCTAAGGTTCAGTTTTATGTGAAGCTAACTCTGTAATTGGTAGGAATAATACTTATGTGGTATTTAGTAGACATTCACCTAATGTGTCATGTACTTTCCAAGGAGAAACTGTATATCTCCTCACTTAACCAGATATTTGTCCTACCTTCCAGGTCTGTCCTTCTATAGTTTTGAGACACTGAAGAACCTTTGTCTGGACAGGTTTCCTGACCTCTTGGGTTCTCCGTGCCCCCAGAATACTGGAGGTTTGGTTCTAACACTACCTGCAAAGCTAATATGTGGAGGACTGGCTGGAGCCATATCTCAGACAGTAGCGTGAGTACATATACAGCTCTCACAGTAGCAGGAGTATATTCATATCTCAGACAGAAGCCTGAGTGTATATACACCTCTCAGTAGCAGAAGGGGATCAGTAGCAGGAGTATATTCATGTCTCAGACAGTAGCCTGAGTGTATATACACCTCTCACAGTAGCAGGAGTATATTCATATCTCAGACAGTAGCCTGAGTGTATATACACCTCTCACAGTAGCAGGAGTATATTCATGTCTCAGACAGTAGCGTGAGTGTATATACACCTCTCACAGTAGCAGGAGTATATATTAATATCTCAGACAGTAGCGTGAGAGTATATACAGCTCTCACAGTAGCAGCATGGAGTATATTCATATCTCAGACAGTAGCATGAGTGTATATACACCTCTCACAGTAGCATGAGTATATTCATGTCTCAGACAGTAGCGTGAGTGTATATACAGCTCTCACAGTAGCAGGAGTATATTCATGTCTCAGACAGTAGCGTGAGGTGTATATACACCTCTCACAGTAGCATGAGTATATTCATATCTCAGACAGTAGCATGAGTGTATATACACCTCTCACAGTAGCATGAGTATATTCATGTCTCAGACAGTAGCATGAGTGTATATACACTTCTCACAGTAGCATGAGTATATTCATGTCTCACACAGTAGCGAGAGTGTATATACAGCTCTCACAGTAGCAGGAGTATATTCATATCTCAGACAGTAGCGTGAGGTGTATATACACCTCTCACAGTAGCATGAGTATATTCATATCTCAGACAGTAGCGTGAGTGTATATACACCTCTCACAGTAGCAGGAGTATATTCATATCTCAGACAGTAGCGTGAGTGTATATACAGCTCTCACAGTAGCAGGAGTATATTCATGTCTCAGACAGTAGTGTGAGTGTATATACACCTCCCACAGTAGCAGGAGTATATTCATATCTCAGACGGTAGCAAAAGTGTATATACAGCTCTGACATTAGCAGGAGTATATTCATGTCTCAGACAGTAGCATGGGTGTATATACACCTCTCACAGTAGCAGGAGTATATTCATATCTCAGACAGTAGCGTGAGTGTATATACACCTCTCACAGTAGCAGGAGTATATTCATGTCTCAGACAGTAGCGTGAGTGTATATACACCTCTCACAGTAGCAGGAGTATATTCATGTCTCAGACAGTAGCGTGAGTGTATATACAGCTCTCACAGTAGCATGAGTATATTCATGTCTCAGACAGTAGCGTGAGTGTATATACACCTCTCACAGTAGCATGAGTATATTCATGTCTCAGACAGTAGCATGAGTGTATATACACCTCTCACAGTAGCAGGAGTATATTCATGTCTCAGACAGTAGCGTGAGTGTATATACACCTCCCACAGTAGCATGAGTATATTCATGTCTCACACAGTATTGTGAGTGTATATACACCTCTCATAGCAGGAGTATATTCATATCTCAGACAGTAACGTGAGGTGTATATACACCTCTCACAGTAGCATGAGTATATTCATATCTCAGACAGTAGCATGAGTGTATATACACCTCTCATAGTAGCAGGAGTATATTCGTATCTCAGACAGTAACGTGAGGTGTATATACAGCTCTCACAGTAGCATGAGTATATTCATATCTCAGACAGTAACGTGAGGTGTATATACACCTCCCACAGTAGCATGAGTATATTCATGTCTGAGACAGTAGCATGAGTGTATATACACCTCTCACAGTAGCAGGAGTATATTCATGTCTCAGACAGTAGCGAGAGTGTATATACAGCTCTCACAGTAGCAGGAGTATATTCATATCTCAGACAGTAGCGTGAGGTGTATATACACCTCTCACAGTAGCATGAGTATATTCATGTCTCAGACAGTACAGCAGCATGAGTGTATATACACCTCCCACAGTAGCATGAGTATATTCATGTCTCAGACAGTAGCGTGAGTGTATATACAGCCTCACAGTAGCAGGAGTATATTCATGTCTCAGACAGTAGCGTGAGTGTATATACACCTCTCACAGTAGCAGGAGTATATTCATGTCTCAGACAGTAGTATGTGAGTGTATATACAGCTCTCACAGTAGCATGAGTATATTCATATCTCAGACAGTAACGTGAGGTGTATATACACCTCCCACAGTAGCATGAGTATATTCATGTCTGAGACAGTAGCATGAGTGTATATACACCTCTCACAGTAGCAGGAGTATATTCATGTCTCACACAGTAGCGAGAGTGTATATACAGCTCTCACAGTAGCAGGAGTATATTCGTATCTCAGACAGTAACATGAGGTGTATATACAGCTCTCACAGTAGCATGAGTATATTCATATCTCAGACAGTAGCATGAGTGTATATACACCTCTCACAGTAGCATGAGTATATTCATGTCTCAGACAGTAGCGTGAGTGTATATACAGCTCTCACAGTAGCAGGAGTATATTCATGTCTCACACAGTAGCATGAGTGTATATACACCTCTCACAGTAGCAGGAGTATATTCATGTCTCAGACAGTAGCGTGAGTACATGTACACCTCTCACAGTAGCAGGAGTATATTCATGTCTCAGACAGTAGTGTGAGTGTATATACACCTCCCACAGTAGCATGAGTATATTCATATCTCAGACAGTAGCAAAAGTGTATATACAGCTCTCACAGTAGCAGGAGTATATTCATGTCTCAGACAGTAGCATGGGTGTATATACAGCTCTCACAGTAGCAGGAGTATATTCATGTCTCAGACAGTAGCATGGGTGTATATACAGCTCTCACAGTAGCAGGAGTATATTCATGTCTCAGACAGTAGCGTGAGTGTATATACACCTCCCACAGTAGCAGGAGTATATTCATGTCTCAGACAGTAGTGTGAGTGTATATACACCTCCCACAGGAGCATGAGTATATTCATATCTCAGACAGTAGCAAAAGTGTATATACAGCTCTCACAGTAGCATGAGTATATTCATGTCTCAGACAGTAGCGTGAGTGTATATACAGCTCTCACAGTAGAAGGAGTATATTCATGTCTCAGACAGTAGCATGAGTGTATATACAGCTCTCACAGTAGCAGGAGTATATTCATGTCTCAGACAGTAGCGTGAGTGTATATACACCTCCACAGTAGCAGGAGTATATTCATGTCTCAGACAGTAGCATGAGTGTATATATACAGCTCTCACAGTAGCATGAGTATATTCATGTCTCAGACAGTAGCGTGAGTGTATATACAGCTCTCACAGTAGCATGAGTATATTCATGTCTCAGACAGTAGCATGAGTGTATATACAGCTCTCACAGTAGCAGGAGTATATTCATGTCTCAGACAGTAGCGTGAGTGTATATACACCTCTCACAGTAGCAGGAGTATATTCATATCTCAGACAGTAGCGTGAGGTGTATATACAGCTCTCACAGTAGCATGAGTATATTCATGTCTCAGACAGTAGCGTGAGTGTATATACAGCTCTCACAGTAGCAGGAGTATACTCATGTCTCAGACAGTAGCATGAGTGTATATACAGCTCTCACAGTAGCAAGAGTATATTCATGTCTCAGACAGTAGCGTGAGTGTATATACAGCTCTCACAGTAGCATGAGTATATTCATATTTCAGACAGTAGCGTGATTGTATATACAGCTCTCACAGTAGCATGAGTATACTCATGTCTCAGACAGTAGCATGAGTGTATATACACCTCTCACAGTAGCAGGAGTATATTCATGTCTCAGACAGTAGCATGAGTGTATATACACCTCTCACAGTAGCAGGAGTATATTCATGTCTCAGACAGTAGCATGAGTGTATTATACACCTTTCACAGTAGCAGGAGTATATTCATGTCTCACACAGTAGCGAGAGTGTATATACACCTTTCACAGTAGCAGGAGTATATTCATACATGAAGCATGAGTAGATAAATATCTCAGTGGTATCAGACTCAATGACTCTTTAGTCCTACATGCCAAACAGGCTTGATTACCTGTGTATGTGGTTAGTTACTGATTCGTGAAGTTGTCATTGGCCTATTGCAGTTATCCTCTGGATGTTGTCCGCAGACGTCTGCAGGTGTCAATCATGCTTCCTGACTCTCACAAGTACAACAGGTAGACACGTTTCCATACTTAACTCTCACAAGTACAACAGGTAGACACATTTCCATACCTGACTCTCACAAGTACAACAGGTAGACACATTTCCATACCTGACTCTCACAAGTACAACAGGTAGACACATTTCCATACCTGACTCTCACAAGTACAACAGGTAGACACATTTCCATACCTGAATGTCACAAGTACAACAGGTAGACACGTTTCCATACCTAACTCTCACAAGTACAACAGGTAGACACATTTCCATACCTAACTCTCACAAGTACAACAGGTAGACACATTTCCATACCTGACTCTCACAAGTACAACAGGTAGACACGTTTCCATACCTGACTCTCACAAGTACAACAGGTAGACACATTTCCATACCTGAATGTCACAAGTACAACAGGTAGACACATTTCCATACCTGAATGTCACAAGTACAACAGGTAGACACATTTCCATACCTGAATGTCACAAGTACAACAGGTAGACACATTTCCATACCTGAATGTCACAAGTACAACAGGTAGACACGTTTCCATACCTGAACTCTCACAAGTACAACAGGTAGACTCTTGACTCTCCACAAGTTACAACAGGTAGACTCACAAGTACAACAGGTAGACACGTTTCCATACCTGACTCTCACAAGTACAACAGGTAGACACGTTTCCATACCTGAATGTCACAAGTACAACAGGTAGACACGTTTCCATACCTGACTCTCACAAGTACAACAGGTAGACACATTTCCACACCTGACTCTCACAAGTACAACAGGTAGACACATTTCCACACCTAACTCTCACAAGTACAACAAGTACAAGAAGTCAGTATTCCAGTCAAGGGTCCAACTCTGTTGTAATGTTTCAGCGGCTGGCCCAACACGCTGTACATCGTGTACAAGGAGAACGGGATCTGGCATGGCCTGTACCGTGGTCTGACAGTCAACTACCTGCGAGTGATGCCCATGGTGGCTGTGTCGTTCAGTACATACGAGACAACCAAGAAGATGTTTGGGCTGGATACAGGAGCAGACAGGTGATGTTGCAGGGATGCTAGACAGACTCGGCAAGATGGGCCCCGCCAGAGGCTGTAACAGGTTTCTACTTCGCTATAGGCTGTGAAATGTCTGTACAAGGGTACCATTGCAGTGAGCGGGGACTTTATGAAAGAAAGGGCATGGATGAAGAAATAGATATGTGAATGGTTACTTAAAGTATTTAATCCAGGGAAGAAGATGTAGTGAGAGAAGCAGAAGCATCTGATCTGTGCTGCTGAAGTATTTAAGGATTCCAAGACTCAAGGACATGTTGTCTCTATATCTATTGTCAACTTCTGTCCTGGGACTTGGCTTGATTCAAGCAATAGTTTAAGATATACTATTAGCAGTGTAGGAAACTTAGCAGAAAATTCTACCAGACACCAAGACTGGTAACTCTGAAAACTTACCAGCCCTTCCCAAAAGTTGCCAGACCAACTTTAATTTCACATTTCAACTCCGCAATAATAAAAAAACTATTAAGTATCTTTGCTTTCATATTTATTGAAATGCCCAACAAAAGAAACAGTTTCATCACAGGTAAGATTCTCATGATTACACATACAATATGAGCCTGACCGTCGGGCTGGTAAGATTTATTTTTTGCCAGCCCTCCACAGAATTAACCCGTCTCGGGCGTTCGGGTGGGCAGTAGTTTCCTACACTGCTATTAGCTGTATATACTTCTTCAAACGCCATATACTGCATACTATAGGCTTTTAATATGGTAAGGACTATTGGCTTCTGTCACGCCGGAGACTGCTCATGTACTACATAGGTGGCAGGGTCAGAGGTCGTTGACGTACTGACAATATTGATCCTGTCACAGCTCTTGCCATATATTTATGAATGACTCTCCCCACTTATGTTTTCTTCATGAACATCCCCAAAATGACAAAATGCAATATATTTTGTTATAAAATGTCAATTTTTTCACAACTCATATTATTTTGATTACCTCCTCCCCCCAGCCCCAGATTCCTGTTTCATGGTTCCCCCTCTCCACCTTCCCCTATTCCCTCTGACTGATGCCCCCTGTAATAAATGACCAGGCCCTCACCATGGCTGATCTCTCATGGCAGTAGTATAGGGTTCTCATTATAGTTGCTTTGGCTTCAGTCAGTGAGTGATGTCAAATGTTTATATTATACTACATTAAACATCATGAATATGTAAATCAAATTTACCTCCATTGTGGTACATGACAAATAATGTGTCCGTGGTTTTGTGCATCTCTCTTCCATGTGGGCCTGGCTAGGGAGAGTTGATGGTAGACAAATGTTTAGTCTCTGAATATGTAAGTCTTTGCAGGGAGGGCGAGGCAGTAGGGGAAATAGTGTGGTTCAGGGACTGTGAGACAGACTAAGTTGATGGTTGTGATACATTGTAGCCAGACAATTGGGTTTAAGTGATGGAATGACAATATTGTGATATATTGGTGTGTGAAATTATTGTTTTAGTAATTGTTTGAATAGTTTTAGTCTTTCTGAGCATGTGTATAATTGTTTGCATTTATCCAGTAATATTTTATGAAACAGCTGACCTGATTTTGTGTGTTTTATTTATTTTGAATTTAGTAATATTTATGGAAAAATAGTATCTGCACACACAATATTATGTTGTATCCTTTTTGTTTTAATACCTCAATAAAATCATTAACTTATTGAGGAAGAAAACTTGAAAACAGATAAGTGCATCACACCAAGCAAGTTCAGTTAAATGATTTTTGGAAAAAATGAATATTCACTCGTTCTCTGTCACAAGACTTTTTATAGAGGATAGTTGCTGGCATTTGTAGTGTCAACCCCAAAACAGTTCCTGCAATCTCAGCACTTTTGCTTTATGTCATTCCCAAGCAACCATCTCCAAGATCAAGACAGGTGCATGTAGGTGCTCCTCACGCTGAACACCCGGTTTCGATTCCCCACATGGGTACAATGTGTGAAGCCCATTTCTGGTGTCCCTGCCCTGATATGGCTGGAATATTGCTAACAGCGGCGTAAAACCATACTCACTCACTCACTCCCTGTCACATCAGTACTTTACCTGTCATGTCAGTGGGAAAAGGCATCAGGGATTATGCAAACTATTCATATTATTTTAGACCTGGTACACCAGCTTTTATTAATGTTCAAGCATTACCAAATACAAGCAACATTTCACAGCACGAACATATCAGCATTACTTGCAGCCTGCAATAGGAAGACCTACTTCCATGACAGTACTTTCCTGCATTGGCTGAAGAGAAGTAGATCAGCATCTACAGCTAGCACGGTCAGTATAGACATAATGTACCCCATTCTTTCATAATACTGTACTTACTCTATCTTGGCTTGACAGATTGGCCATAGTAATAGGGAGAAATACTTTGAAAATATGAAAGTAATGCTTTACATTGTACTTGTATAGTCGACAGTATTTCTGCAAGATATTTATACATATAGTCCAGATCATGACTTTTTAAACTTTAGTTTGCACATGTGCAACATATTTAATTGTATCTGAGATGTGTGTGATGTGTGTGATGGAGTGTGGAGTTGGGATGTGGCAGCAGGGTGTGAAGGCTTGTAACTGTTGCAGAGGGAGACACATGCAATCAGTGTGATGCAGATGTTTCTCATCCAAGCTTTATGATCAGTTAGTGATGTTGAATCATAATTCTGTCATGAATTAACCTCACTTTCTGAAAAACGATGTCACTTTTACAGTAGTAAGGAACCGTTCATAATTTATGGCTCCTGGAGTGATGATGATTTTAAGGGGGTTCGCCCATTATGCTCTGGAGAATTAGCGGGGAGGGGGGCTAATAATTTTGTACACATGTAGGGGAGGGGGGTGTCAGCAATTTTGTACAGAATTTTAAAAAAAGTAATGCTAAAAAGTCCTGGGAAGGGGGTGTAGGGGTTGTTGATTTTGTACATGACATGCAAGGGGGGGGTGTCTCTTACTTGGTACATAACTTTAAGGGGGGTTACTGACATTGTACAGGCCTCTCCATAAACATCATCATCATCACACACACACACACACACACACCCCACCTCCCACACCCCTTCCCCTTGCCATAAATTATGAACTGTCCCTAATCTTTTGTTGTGTTCTTTTCTCATTTTAACTGAGCTACTTTTAGACTGCTATTCTTAATCACTATGTTTTCTTTTTTCCCTGAAAACATAGATCCTTGTTTGAGCTGTAAAACAAATTATAATTTTAAAAACAGATTTTTAGAATGATCTCATGCCTTTCTAGTTTGATCCTTGAATCTTTTTTGATGGCAGATCAGTTCAGAGATTTGAAGGAGGGAAAGAAGACCGTATAATTTTACTTTATTAGAACTGCATGGCCATTTCATGTTGTACCAAACAATGCAAGCACTGACACACAAATATGGACAATTGTATACTCAGAAGCAAAATAAACGTCAGTACGAATTCAAAATTAGATAGGCTCTGTAATCAAATCATCACAAATGGACATAATAAGCGGATCAAAAACATTTTTTGTGTACAATATCCTGACACATCAATGAATAACTCAGCACAATTCCAAGACATTACGTGAACCTTTGCAGTCAATTCAGACTCTTGACTTCAGTATCTAGTGTGACCACCACGAGCTGCAATAACTGCAGCACAGCATCTATGCATGGAGTGCACCAATTGATTGATGAAGGCCATTGGCACCTGGAACCACACTTTGAGAAAGGCCTGGCGCAATAAATCGTCTGTGTTCGGCCTTGGTATGACAATATTCAGTCTCCTTTGAATTTCATCCCATAGATGTTCAATTGGGTTTAAATCAGGACTAAGGGCTGGCCACTGCATAATGTTGACACCGTTCTGCTGTAGGAAGTCCCGTGTAGCTCTGGCAGTATGGGCCCGGATGTTATCATGCTGGAAAATGTTGTTCCGGTGACGTGCGAAATGTGGTATGACGTGGGGTCTGAGAGCTTGGTAGATGTAACGCACCGCTGTGATGTCGCCTCCTCTCCCTTGACCAAGGTTCTGGAACACCACAGGACCCACTCACTGGTTCAGGCCTATTCCACCCCATACCATGATGCTTGCACCTCCCCATGAGTCTCTTTCCATAACACATTGGTCTGAGTAACGCTGGCCACTTCTTCGCCATATTCTTGTTCTGCCATCTGCAGTTGATACGCAGTACCGACTCTCAGCTGTGAACAGAACAGTTCTCCACTGCCTGTATCGCCAGTTTTGGTGTTGTAGGGCAAACTGTCGACGTTCACGCTGATGACGAGGGGTGGGGATAGGTCCACAGTAAGGTCTACAGCAATGGAGGTTCCCACTGTTAAGACGTCAGTGTACTGTATCAGTACTGATTGGTCTTCTGTGTGTTCCCCCTGTCTGGCGTGATGTTTCGGATGCCTGCATGAAGGGATTCTGTACATGCTGTTGCACAACATGGCTGTCTGGTTGTCTTGTGGTCACCCTTGGTCTGCCAGTACGGGGGGCGATCATTTGTGTTGTTGGTGGCCCGAAAACGTTGCCGCAGCCTGTAGATGGTCCGAAAGTTGACCTGGAAGTGATTGGCAACGGCTTGTGCAGTGTGGCCAGCTTCAAGTCTTCCTAGCGCCTGGTTCCTCTGAGCTGTCGTGAGTCGTGGCATCCTGCCGACGTTGTAATGTGAATGTTTCAACCAGGTTTGGGGGTGCATTTTCAAGGGCTGGTCCTTGTGAACAGCACGTGCAGCATGAGTTGCATGAAAAACATGGAGAACACCGTACCATCTATGAGATCAGGTTGCGTTTTTGAGACCATTTCCTGGGTTCCATTCTGAGTTTGGGAATGAATGTCTTTGCTCAGGTAAAGTTGGAGATGTTGTCAAAAATATACAATCAAAACATTAAATGAGTTTACAGTTATCCGTTTCTGCGAAGGAAAATTCCAAACTGACGTTTCTTTTGTTGCTTAGTATGTCAGATCATGGAGGCTCCTTGTGTATATGTTTGTGTGCCTAGCTCCACTTGTATGTGAATCATGTCTTCCCTCCTTCAGAATATCTTCCCCACACGTCAGTGCTTGTAGTGAACAAAGGAACATAAATATTGTTATTGATTATTTTGAGTTGATTTTTGTGTTTACTGTGAATGTAAGGAATGTCAGTCTCTATTGGTGTCCTTGTGGGGGATATTACTTTCACTTCCCCCTGCAGGCAGGGCTTTATTATGTAGAAGTGAAGTTCTCATAAGAACTGTAATTTTACCACTAGACTTTTACTGCTGTGTATTAGTTTCATTATATCATATTTATATGCATGAAATATCTTAAAGCTGTACCAAATTAATAAAATATATTCAATACCTGTTATAAGCAAAGATATCTTTAAACAGTCCTGTCTCAGTTGTTTCATCCACAATAGTGTTGGAAGCTGGTAACAACCAGCTGTTAACAGTTAGGCATACAAAACTGCCTTTGGCCAGAAGTCAAGAAGCAAGTCTGGTACAAACAAGACCTACACTTGGCTCCCTTGGAGCTGTTACATATGCCAGCCTCACCCTG